ATGTATTTTTTGTGGTCCCATTTATGAGGTACAAATAATAATCAGACTTGGAGACTGCGAACAGAAGGTGGAGGAGAAGAGAACTGACTAATGAGGACAGAACTTTAGTTTTAAAAGTTGAAGCCATTCTGGAGATAGATGGTAGTGACAGTTGTAGGAACGTACATATAGTGTCTCTGAATTGCCTGGTTGAACACTGTGTATATGTTCTATCATAGCGGAACAACTGTACAGAGTGAGTTTAAAACCAAATAAAATAAAAAACAAAGCTTTGATTAAAGTTGGGAACATACAGCTTAACCTCTATGCCTTTTTTTTTTCTTAAAAAAAATCCGTGAATAAAACAGTAGGCCCTAAACAGGATACTTCAGAGTCTACTTCCTGGACAAGAAGAGTCCCCCTTGTAACCACAGCAGCTGTGAATGTCTGGAAATGCACAGAGATACACAACTGCCTTCCAGTCCCCACATCTCATGTGGATTTCTCAGGGTTGGGGCTGGGGCTGGGGTGGAGAGCTTGTCCAGCACACACAGCAGGCAAGTTCTACACTCAGCACCACAGAGGGAGAAAGCTTCTCTGTTTGCCTTAGTTACTTGTCTTGTTACTGTAACAAAATGCTTGAGGCAAGCAACTTACAGAAAGACAGTTTTATTTAGGTTCACAGTTTGAAGGTACAGTTAGTTTATCAAGGCAGGGAATGCATGGCGGCAGATCAAGGTGGCTGGTAACATTGTATCCTCAATCAGGAAACAAAGAGAGAGAGAGAGAGAGAGAGAGAGAGAGAGAGAGAGAGAGAGAGAGAGAGAGAGAGAGAGAGGAATACTGCTGATTCCTCCCTTTTGTACAGTATAAGCTTCCAGAACACAGAATGGTACTACCCACTTTTAGGGTATGTCTTCCCACCTCAGTTAACATTACTCTGGAAACTCTCTCACAGGCACGCCCAGAGGCTTGTCTCCAGGTGCCGATCGTTACTGTGAATACGAGCAGAATCTTTCCATGAAGACTTTGTCTCAGAATTACCACTACAGGGGACCTGGTATCTTTTTTTAATTGGAGCAGTTCTAAAGACTTCTGTTGACCTTCATAGTTTTGACACCTTGGATGGTCACGTGTGGTGAACCGAGGCTGGAGAGAGCTCCTGCTGAAGTGCATCCAGGTGGTGCGTCTTTGGACCGTCATTGGATCACACTCCCTGACTCTGCCATCACTCTGCTGTCTCATCGTCATGGATGCCTCCTGCAATTACGTGGTTAAAGTGGCATGCTCCAGGCTTCTCCATTCCACTCCGTAATTACAGCACAGAAAATGATTTGCAGCCGTGTAAACATCTCATCCTTAAACAACTTTCAATTTACTTCTCTACCTGCTCTGTTTGACAGGTTCCTTACTATTTGCTGCTATTATTAATGACTTTGATTTTCAAATGATCTCCAACGTGGCCAGCAGGTGTCCCTTCAAGCCAATTTCTAAGTTTTTCTGACCTATCTCCATCACTCCCTAGACATTTCCCTATTTTCAGCTCTAAGATGCTACTGTCTTGTCTTACCCCCTCAGCCTTGGCCTTGGGATTAGTTATTTCTTCTTGCATCTCTGGTCCATCTAGTGAAAAATGCTATTCAGAAACTAAGACCTGGAGCTAGATGTGCTCCCTGCTTCCGGAAATGCTGTCCACAGCCTTTTGGTGGCAGAGCTGGGGAATCTAAGCATAGGTGTACACACATGTCTCCACATGGACACATACCCTCTCACATTGCAAAGCGTGATCTCAGAGTGACTGTGACAGTTTGGATCCAACACCGATGGTTACGTTCTGACCTTTGTTCTTCCTGTGTTTTTGCCGCAGGTTTCCTCTAGTCTGAGAAGCCAGTCTTCTTGTGTCCTTTTCTTAGCTGACCAGTAGTCACTGAATGGAAGCAAATTCCTATTTTATCGTTGCCCCTCCTCTTTTATCATGGGCTCTGACTGCGCTGTCAGGACTCATCCTCTGTGTGGATGTCCTTCTCATTCCTCTTCAGCTTCACACCTGACGGAGATGCCTCCTCATCTGTCCTAGATTCTGACACCATGTGCCAATTCCCTCCCCTTCAGACATCCACTCATCTATCAGCAAGGGTGTCAACTCTCTCTGTCAGGCAGCCCCTCAGTGTGCCTCCACCCATGCCCCATCACCTTGGAGGAAGCCATAGTAGCTCTTGTTCCCTCTCACGCTGGCAGGTGTAGATGCCTGGTCTTGGTTGTCCCACTCACTGTCTAAGTGTCTCACGTTGCATTTGAAGCCCGTGTTATTGAGACTCTTGTGCTGGAGGGAGCCCCTTTCCCTGAACCCTGCTCAATCTTATGATGCTTCAAGGACGTTTCCTCTGCTATTCAAATCCATTTTCTCCTTTTGGGAACATGTCACAGAGCCATTTCATACGTCTCTCTGCGGCATCTTTCCTTCCTGCTCATTGATGCTCACAGGGAAACAAAACTGCCGGGATGGATGCTTAGTGATGGGAAGGTGGAGCCCCATTTCCCCGACCCCTTCTCTCTCCACGCTCCAGTTTCCATCCCAAAGCGCCAGTTCTCCAAGGTGGCTTTGGAGGAAGTTATGTTCTCCTCCGTCCTACCTGCCAGTTAGCCCTTCCCTTGCCTCTTTCCCAGCCCATGCTATTCACCATAGGAGATTTCCTCATCCACAAGTCCGCTGCTGGGATATCTCCCTGGAGAAAGCAAAGTCTCTCAGAGCGGTTGGCATTTTGCCGGGCAGGGAGCATCCCATGAACAGTCAATGGAGATGTGAAAGGAGGCTCACCCACAGCAGGAAGAGCAGAATGCCATTTGATGAATCCACCAGATTGGTGAAAAATCGTAAGAATGCAGTGTTTGTGAGGGTGCTGGACAGGAAGGTGTGTCCTCTGTGGCTGACAAGTGACACTTCATTATGATCACTTGGTAAGATACATTTACATTCCCTAGTAACCTTGAAGGTAAATGCTTGTAACCTTACTATGCCTGGAAGTGGGTGGGGCTTGTCTGCAATGGGGAATAGACAACAACTTTCATATTGACTGAAGTAAAGTCAGTTGGTGCTTGCTAACAAAAGACTAGGTAAACCATTCCACTTTTAGGCAGTAGAATATTAGACAACATGAAGAAATGAACCAAGCATAGTCATATGCATCCGTGTGAATTTTAAAAATCAAAGAAGTACCACAGGATTTGCCTGGCATCCTGGGGATGTCACAAGAGGCTGTCACTATCTAGATGATAATGACAACAGTGAAGGTACCTTTTATTGGCCCCTGGTCCTCTGCTGGGGCCAAGCATTTCCTCACATGGTTGTGCATAACCCTGTGTGTTCAGGAGCCACTGCTATTCCCTTTTGTGGATAGTGAAAGCAGATATCATGAAATCCTAGAAAGAAGAAAAGTGCCCATGGTCCCTTGGAGCATACGGGGCAGAGCCAAGGTGGGAACCCGGGCTGTGCTTCTGGAGTGGAGTCCATGCCGTGCTGCTCTAGGGGATGGTCACAGAAAGTTGAAAAGAAATTCAAAGCCTGGGTCTCCTTGCTTGAGGGAGAAGCATTGACTCCACCCTCGTGTGTGTGTGTGTGTGTGTGTGTGTGTGTGTGTGCGCACGTGTGTGTGTCTGCCTGTCTGTCTGTCTGTGTATGTACACACACTTGGGCATGCCGTGATGCGCATGTGGAGGTCTGAGGACAACTTTCTGGAACTGGTCCTTGTCTTTCCCCCCCTTGTATGCAAAGCAGGGCCTCTCCTGTGTTTCCCAACATATAAAACAGCCTGACCTGTTTGTGAGCTTCCGTTTCTCCTTAGGAGCGCTGGGATTACAGATGTGCACCGTCACACCTGGCTTTTACATACGTTTGGAAAGTCAAATTCAGGTGGCCTGGCTTTTGGGGTGAGTACTTTCACTTTGGAGCCCTCCTCTCGAGCTCTCCTTGCCCTCCCCTCTGTTTTTTTGTGGTGCTGGAGCTCAAACATAAGGCAGGAGCAACCACTGAACTAACCCGAGCCTCTGTTCACCTTTTACTTTGAGACATGGTTTCAGTCTATATAGTCATCGGAGCTGGCCCTAACCTCATTCTGTCTAGCCTGTCCAGGTCTTGAACTTGATCCTCCTGCCCCAGTTTCCCCAAGAGACTGGAATTACAGGTCAACACCAGTCTCAGATTGCCTTTAGTCTTTACATGAGTATGCTTGGGTTTCCATCAATGTACACATACCACGTTTGTTATACTATGAAATTAACTCTCCGAGTGCTGTCTCCCACTGCTGAAATCCTGAAAACTTTTTTGGCACCTCTTCCTCATTTGTAACATGGACAGTATTGGCCTCACAGGAGTCTCAGAGTTCACCAACCCCCAGATGAAGAGATGGAGGTCACCATCAGAGAGAGGTCATAGAAGGTCACACAAACCTGACCAGACGTAGAGCTAGGAATAGATTTTAAATGCACACGACTTTGTAAGCTGGGAACATGGCTGCCATTCCAAAGAGGAGCACGTGCCCACAGAAATGGTTTTATGACTCTTCTGTGTTATGTCTGTTAATAATAAGACTGAAAAACATTCATGTCCCCAATGAACTTCAGACTAGAATAGGCAGCTGGTGAGGCAGCCACATCTGGAGTCCAGGATGAAACCACTCTGCCTGCCCCTGTGCCACCAAGCAAAGGGCTGCCTACAAGGTCAACAGAGCCCCAAGACTCCCGTTGGAAAACTGCCTTATAGAAGTGAGGGACAAGTTGGGGGGCGTATGGGGAGAATGTATAGGTCAGCTCTGAGTCACCCAGGGCTGGCCTCTGGTGCTTCTGCTCACCAGTACGATGAGGAAAACAATGTAATAACAGAGCCCTGGGCTGGCAGCGACCTCATAGGCTGGAAACATTGTAGCTCAGAGAGATCACATGAGTCATTAAAAGCCACCTAGCTAGCAAACACAGCCTTGGTTGGAGAGCCTGCATGCCCTACCTGGCCGAGCTCTCCTACTGACCTGAGAAGGCAATGGCGAAGATCCCACCCGTGGCGGTGTCCCTGTGGAACTTGAGCAGGACCTGGTTGGAGGAGCTGTGTGCTATTTTCTTAGACAAACTCCGGGTGAAGACCCCAAGCTGCAGAGATGTCTGCTGTGGCCCATCCCTGCACACAGGAAAAGAAAATCCTGCATGTCATCGGCTGCCTTGAATGTCTGCTGTTCCTGGGTCCACCAGTGGCCTTGAGAGGGACCTGTAGTGGATGGCTGTGACTCTAGGAGTCTCTCTAGCCCCTCTGTGAGGTCTTCCAATAGAGTTGATGGGATCCTTATTTATTTGAGTCTTCATCAGCCATACACTCTTTCTCCCTGCACCTCCCTGCTGGGTGGCTTCTGAGGCAACAGAGGCCCCATGGGGCAGAGCTGCTGGTATCACCACAGACTTTCTTTGTTAAAGGAACTGTGGCAGAACTCTCTTGTTGCTTTTTGCTGGCCCCTTGCTACCTAAGCAAAGACACAGCCATGCTAGCTTTTGGGGCAAATGACTTCTTGCCTGGAACCTTATCTAGTGCCTCCTTTCTTTTCCTTGCCATAGTCTGCAAATTACTCAGAGTTTTGAGAAAACTTATTCCACTACCCCATGATGATTCCAGAAATGCCGTGAACTTCCAAACAAAGGAGTTTTTAAAAATGTTATGTATCTTTGTCCATAGATTCAATCATCTGGGGGAAAATTGTTTAGGAAACTGCCCTTATCAGCTAAGAATCTGCATTTCCCTTTTAAAATGGACTCAGGCCACTGTCTATAGAGCTCTGTAACTAAGTGTTGAGTTGCTTGATTCAGTAACCACTAATGATACATGGCTGCTTACACTTAAATTCATTAAAATTAAATACAATTTAAAAACCTGTCTGGTGGCTGCCATGTTGGATGGCACTGATGTATAATGCCATCATTGGTTCAGAATGCTCTGTGGGGCAGCACTGGCTCAGCACATGATAAGAAGAGGAACTTTACACAATGTCACGCCAAGCCTTTCCTCTTAGTCTGACAGCTTAGTTAGGTGTAAGTGTAATGCAGAGTAAGGCTGCATAGCCAGACCATTCCCAACCAATGGCACCTTCACTGACTGCGGAAAGGGCCCCAGGTTGCAAACTGCTGACCTTTCAATCCTCCCCAGTCATGCATCTGATCTTACCAGACAGTGATATAGTCTCCAAAGGGCTCTATCTGGAGCAGGCTGAGGTTGAGATGGACGCCATGGCCAATGGGGACAGTGATCTGCCAGACACAGTCCTGGGAGCTGGAATAGGGACTGGGGTATCCAGGGGAGTACACGGTGCCATTAAAAGAGGTGATGTTACCACCACAGGGGACTGCCAGGAAGGAAACACAAACAGATGAGCATTCGATAGTCCTCCTCACCCAGCTGAGAACCTAGATACCTTCCTGGCATAACCTCAACTCTCAGTATTATTTTGCCAGGAGTTTGGTGGAGCAGGGAGAAGACACAGGGCTGTGTGGTTGTGCCTGGCTGTCACCAACACAGCTCCCTGGCTGCCTATCAATCATCACTTCAGGAGCTTCTGTGGTCACTCCACCTTGGCCTCCTCTTTCTCACAGAACAGGCCTATAGAGAAGGGGTTTCCCTTGAGAGCTCTTCTGATCCCTGTCCTAGGTACGGGGAGGAACTGGTGTTAGTATTGGGGCTGTAATGCTTTGGCTGGGAGAAGCCGATGGATTGCGATGACCTCTTTCCTCTCTGACTTGTCCTTTCTAGAGTAGCACTTCTGGTCTAGTTTTTTTTTTTTAGATTAAATTTAGCATTTACTTATTTATCTTTGTGGCTGTGTACACATGAGGATGTGACATGTATATATGCATGTTTGCATGTGTGTGTATGCATGTGTATGCGTGTGCATATGTGCACATGCATGGGTGTGTACTGAGTACTGAGGTAGATGTTGGAATCTTCCTCCATCACATTCCATCTTGTTCTTTGAGGCAGGACTCTTAATTGAATCCAGAGCTTGTCAGCATGGCTAGACAGCTTGTCTGAGGGGATCCTGTTCCCACCTTCCGAGTGCTGGGATTACAGTTGGGTCTCTATACTAGGCCAGCATTTCCGTGGGTTCTGGTAGTCTCAACTCGAGTCCTCACACTTGCATGGCAAGTGTTTTATACAGTTTTTAGATTTTTTTTTTTTTTTTGGTTTTGCAATGAGGCTAAGGCTGGGTTCAAATCATTGGCTCTGCCACATATCAGTCACATGACCACAGACATGTAGTTGATTTCTCTGAGTCTGTTTCCTTGGGAGTGAAATAGACTAAGAATAACCCTCATGAGACGGTGAGAGCAGTTAGGTAAAATGATGTATGAAAAGTGGTCAGGGCTGGAATGAAGCTCAGGGATGGAGAGCTTGATGAATCTCCATACATCAGTCAATCAATCAATCAGTCAATCAATCAATCAAAAAAACAAAATGTTTGGCTGTAGGGAGTGGGTCTGATGCTAAGGTCCTGCTCCCCCACTGGTTCTTGATCTATCAGTAAAGATGCCAGGGGCCAATTGCTGAGCAGAAAGAAAGAGATGGGACTTCCAGGTCCCAGGAGGGGAGGCAAGGAGCTGAAGAGGAGAAGTTTTTCATCATGCTTTGGAGGGACAAAAGGTGACCAGCCATGTGAGATCTGGGTGGAGCAGCTATAGGTGCTTCTCTGGGCGTGAGGTTAGGGTGTTGAGCTGGGACTAAGGGTAACTGAGCAACAAAAGTTGAGGACAGATTTAGGGTGCTGAGCTAAGACTATTGGGAAGGGCATGCTAGCTGCAGGAGATTAGCAGTGCCCAGCAATTGAGCCAATAAGGCAGGTTGAAATTGAGCAATGTGTGTGTGTGTGTGTGTGTGTGTGTGTGTGTGTGTTTCATCCACACATCCTAGGGAATCTGGGTGGGGGCTGGTAGCATGGCTGGCTGTTCCCGGAGCTTAAGATGAGGTAGCAAAAGCTACACTCAACACTTGGCACAGTTTCTTGCCCAGAGATACAGCCCTTGTTTTAGGTCTCTTTCTCTGTAGAACACTACTACTGTGGATTCACAGCCTCTGTGAGAAGCCATCTATGAAACCTTCTGGTTCTCAGGAAATGTCTTGCTTTACTGAAGAAGAAAATGAAACACTGCGTACAGAGATAGAACTGACAGCTAACCCCTGAGCCAGAGCACTTTCCCTGGGTTACCATCCCTGCTGAGGCTTCCTATTTCAAAACTGATTCTAGCATCTCCTCCAAGAAAATTCTAGGCTGTCAGAGTAAGACAGGAAGGAAAGTGGAAGTGAGGTGTCTCTATAGGGGAGGGGACCTGCACAGTGTAGGGGACCTGAACGGCCTCTTGGTCATCTTCACTTCGGTTCTGCTTAAGGAAGAAGGCCCAAGAATGCTCCATCTCCAGCAACCTGAGAGTACCAGCTCAGCTCTCACCAAACACAGGTAGGAAGAAGGAACTAATAGGGCAGGTGAAGAGGAACCAGAGTTCTTAGAAAAGGACATCATTCCCTTCCCTTTGGGGAAGTTCCAGGATCGACTCTCTCCTCCATTCAGTGCTTACAGCCTCACTGTGACACCTTCTCATCTACTTGGGGGACATTAGCCCATCAGGTTGGATCTTCCTATGGGCTGGATATAACAATCTCTTGACTATAGCACACATCTCCAGGTCCTTCCTTGTACTTGCTCAGAGCTCTGTCACATGGGCTTTCTTCCTGGCTTGGTGGCTCCTACCTACATGGAAACAGGATAGGTAAGGCTTGCCTGGACCCCCACCTTTGGTGATCCCACAGAGTAGCAGGTAAAATAGGATGCTCTGTTTCTATGACAACCCCAGGGAGAACAATCATGGCAAGAGACATACCTTCACACCTGGGTAGAGGGTGGTCCCAGTTGCGATTGGTACCATGTTGACAGGTGAGGACAGGTTGGCCAGTCAGTTGATATCCTGGAAGGCACTCGAAGGTCACCGATTGTCCAACATTATAGCCAGCTCCCCTCACTATGCCATTGGCAAAAGGCTCTGGGTCTGGGCACTCTTGGAGTTCGTAAGCTAGGAAAGATTAGGATAAAACATCACTTTATGCTTTCTGGGGACTTTCTTCTCAGATGAAAGATTGCAGTGCCAATGGATTTAACTGGTTGCTGGCTTTAGATAAGTTCCTTAAGTTTCTCTATGACCTGCCCCCTTTTCCTTGCATTGAGTGCAATGGCATCTATGGATCCCTTTGTACAATACTGGCATGTGTAAAGAGCCCCTTAGGTGTTACTGACTGTTCATATTTCCACTGGGAAAAAAGGCTCAAGGACCATATTGATGGCAGAACTGCTTTTTACTGAACATCTTCTCTGGGTCAGACATTGGTCTGGGTATCTACATGTTGCTTATCTTGAGGTCACAGCACAGAAGCACTGAGTCGAGGAAGCCTTTCCAGCTCTGCTAAGTTAGAACCTATGAAAGCAGTTTTGGGGAATAAGTTAAATCGCAGGCAAGAAGACAGCTTTTGGGGGACAGAGTGACTGCCATACAAGAATGTTTCTTGGAGGAGTAAAGAAGCTTCCCTCATGAGACCTCACATGGAAAAGGCTGAGGCCTGGCAAATAGGCAGAGGCAGCTGAGGCACTGGCCGAGTGTGGAGCAGAGAGCAAAGCCTCTGGCTAATTGGGTACACTGGATGAAGAATACTCTTTGTGGCAGTAATTGGGAGCTCTCTGCACAGGGAACTGGCAGAAGGAGGAGATGGGCTCTTTCCACAGCAGACACACTCAGTAGGAACAGCTGGGGATGAATGATGCTCTGTGGAAGTGGATGAGTTAGCACAGGTAATAAGAATAACCATGACCTCAAGGCTAACGGCTCTGCCGTGCCCACTCTGCAGTGGCGTCTGGGTCTGTGTTCCCATTTGACATTGCAAAGGATCATCTCAGTGGGAAAAATACATACATTTCACGAGAAGTCACTTTCAGGGAAGCTTGGGAAGAAGGTTCAGTTGGTTTGCCTTGCAAGCAGGAGGACCTGAGTTTGATACCCAGGGCTTTCCTCCTTTCCTCCCTATTTTCTTTTCTCTCCACCCCTCTTTCTTTTTTTGCCAGGAGTAGTAATTGCAGTGTGCATTACTGATCCTGGTGCTAAGGAAGCAGAAACAGGCAGGTCCCTGGAGCTTGTTAGCCAGCAAGCCTCCTTGATGAGATCTAAGCTGTGAGAGAATGGGTTTCAAAAAAGGGTACACAGTACCTCATGCATCTGAAGGCTGCTAGGAGAAGACTGGCTTCCAGGCAGCTAGGATGAGGGTCCTATAGCCCATACCCACAGTGACATACCTACTCCAATGACTTCTAATAGTGCCACTCTCTGGGCTAAGCATATGCAAACCATCACACTAGTATATGTATGTGTTATCTATGTGCATGCATGTGCATGAGTGTGTGTGTGTGTGTGTGTGTGTTCGAGTGTGTATAGGCCAAAGGTCAATTCAAGTGTCTTCCTTGATCACTCTCCACCACGTTTTGAGGAAAGATCTCTTACTGAGCCTGGAGCTCAGCAGCTAAGTGGACTGGCTGGTTAATGTGTTCCTGAGACCTTCCAGCTCCCACCTCCCAGTGCCAGGATTATAGACATAGGCCTACGGCTTATGTGGCAGGAATTTTGCCTTTTGAGCCATGGGGTAAGTTAAGAGTAAGCAAACATAGCTACCATTACAGATTTTATGGAAATATCTGCTTGAAGAAAGACAAAGATACAACAGCTTAGGGATGCTGGACTGTCCAGTTGGGGAAATTTTGCGGAGAAAGAGCTAGATCGATTCAAGGAAAGTTGAAGGGATGAAGAGAACTGGGGCCAACAGGAATAGCCTCTGTGGGGACAGATGGCTCTTCTGTAAAACTGGGGACCCAAAGAACCCATTTTCTTTGGAGGGGAAGCCTGGAGAGAGGGCCCAGAGCTCAGAGTCTGTTTATACTGAATAACCATGGAGAGAGCATGCCAGTTTGTTAGGGAGAATCATTTGCATCTATCACAAATTAGAAGCCTCAGTGGAAGCAGCTGGGCCTCTGGCACTGGAGACACCCTAAGTGGAGGGGTTGGGACCATCACAATGAGAACATTTAGTGAAAGCTGAGCTCCAGTCCAAGAAGGAGCAGGTGGCCTCCCGCTGAGGGGCACACAAGTGGCCTCCCACTGAGGGGCACGAAGGTAGGCTTGTGATTCAAAGAAGCATCAGGCGGGCCCTGATAATAGAAGGAAAGGCCTCTATTATGTTGTCCTGGACTCCTCACAGGGAGAGCTGGGGCACCTCAGGTAGGTGGGCTCAACAGCAGCCCTTCCCAAAGAAAGGAAAGGATTGGGAAAGCCAGGAGGATCTTCTCTATACAGGGGTGACAGCTGTGTGTGTGTGTTGGGGGGAGTGCTAGGTCTCCTCTTGGGATCCAGGAGCAAATGGTAGTTTTGAGTGATACAGCTTTGCAAAGACAAGCGGGCTTGCTAGGCAGGGAATGTTCAGGAGCCACCATCCTATTGCATGGGCTCAGTGCATGGGCTGTGCCTGTGAAGGCGTGAGGTAAGCCTCTAGCCAACCTTGACTCAACAGTTGTGCTGTTAACACTTATGTTTACAGGAGCTGAGTGTCAGGGAGAGAGCACAGGTTGAACTTCATGTTCACATGCTGACATCTGAATGCCCAGAACATCAGGAAGTGACCTTAGTTGAATAGATGACCTTTGCTCATTCCACATAAGCTAGAATGTCTGTAGGGAAAATGGCGATTTGATTGGCTGGTATCTTTACAAGAAGGAGGAGTGTGAGTGATCTCCATACAACATCCCATAATGTGTCTACTCATTTACATTCCCACCAAGAGCATGGACGATTCTTTCTCTCCTCTGTCCTTGCCAACACACAATTAGAGGCCATTCTGAGTGCTAACCACGTCAGATGTATTGTAAATCTTTAGGTGGATGGGAATACAAGCCACCTTGATTCAATCAAACACGATAGTCCTGTCTTGAAGTGTCACATTGTATTCCATAATATGTACAATAGTTATGTGTCAATCAAGGAGAGGGTGGGCTAGAGCTTTGGAGATGAAGTCAGGGACTGCAGTGATGATCCTGCCATGGCAATCAATGGCCCAAACCACCCAAATCCAGTCCAACACCCCGAGTAGATCCTTACAACCCTCAGAAGAAACCTGCCTTGCCAACACCTTAATCTTGCTCGCACATCCATCCCTAGACTTCAAGTCATGGAGTCTTTGGTACTTTGTGATGGTCTCCCTCAAAACCAAGAGCCAGGAAGTGACGGTGGCACTGATGTGTGTGATAGGTGGATAGCATTTATTCAGCCAGGGCATGGACTATGTAACTGGAATCATCAAGTGCCTTCCATGACAGAGCACTGTGACAGAGGACAATTACTGACATGTCCTGACTTGCTGTCATTCCTACCCCTTCTTTCGAGCCACAGACACAGGAGCACAGGAGTCACTTCTGTGCTGATTCTCCTCCCCCACCTCCCCGCCACCTTCCCTGGGTGTGACTACCTGGTCAGAACCAACAAAGCGTGCTTTGGGGAGCCCAAGCTCTTGTGCCCCTGCAGTATAGCCTGCCATGCTCCCAGGACAGACACATGCATTAAGCAACTGGCCCCTGTGCAACTGACCCAAAATGTGCCTGCCTTAGGGGAGACCTTTTATGGCAGTCCTAGAACAAGAAGCCCAGGCCTTGCTAAGCGTTCCTGTTTGACAAGGGAGGGACTCCCAGGACAAAGATGGAAAAGCCAGGCAGGTTTCAGTACACGCTCCATGTCTCGTTATGTACTAAAAGTATATGTGGTCAAAGACTTTGTATTTACATTATTTAATTTTCTTCCCAGGACACACACACACACACACACACACACACACACACACACACAATGAAGAAAAGAATTAAAATCCAGGGGTTGTCTTTGGGAAATAACCCCATCCTGTGGCTATTTTTTTCTTGTTTTTGTTCTTTAACAAGCTGAATATACTAATGAATTTTATCTGTATAATTAAAAATTAATGTTGAATATGGGGAATTGCAAGGCAGCACTTACAGGGGATACACTGTTGGCTTGACAGAAGACGGCTCCTTCCTCTGTATAGGGGAAGGGGTTGGATTAGGAGAACAACTTGACCTCTATGATGTGTGACATAGCCTGAGTGTGTCCTCCCAGCCAGTGCCACACCCTGAAGCCTCATCCCCTAATAGGACAGTATTTGGAGGTTGAGCCTCTGGAGGTCTCTCCTCTGGAGAACTGGGCTGGGTCACTATAAAAAAGGACTTACAAAGGTAAAGGTCTTTTAACGCCATCTACCAGTGAGAACACCGTAAGAGGGTGCCGCCATGAACCAGAGAGCATGTTCTCCCAGATATGGCATATGCTAGCACCTTGATCTTAAGCTTTCCAGCCTCCAGAAGAGGGAGGAATGGGTTTCTGTTGCCTCTGTGCTGCTAGCTGGCAACATCTGTTACAGCAGCAAGAGCTGGCTGGTGCCTCCTGCTCACTGAAAAGCTGTACAGCTTTAGAGCTTTAAAGATAAACATGTATCAGTATCAGCAATATCTAAATATATATGTGGATATCAAATATTAGCTTTATATATAATATATAGTATAAATGTTATATATTATACATAATCAATATATAATATGTAACATGTATGTATGCATTCAAGTATGCATGTATATATGTATGAATGTATGTCTATATGCATGTATGAATGCATGTATAAATGTTTGAATGTATATATGCAAGTATGTATGTGTATGTATGTCTAAGTGTATGTATGTGTACATGTATGTATACATGCAGCAGGAAGTGAGTTAAAGGAGCTGAGTTGGGACCAGAGCAAGTGTTTCCTTCAGTGACACTAGGAGAGCATTCAGGGCAGAAGTTCGGCCTGTGTGGGGCTGCCACGTACAGCCATGCAGCCAGTACTGATGACTGCCTGGCTGGCCCCTCACACAGAAAAGCCTGAGTTGGTGTGAAGGGGATCTTTTCTGGGAGTGCACTCAAGGAGCACTGGACCCACAACTGGGTTTCATCTGAGGAAACAGAACCGCTGCCAGCCTACAGGTGAGTCGCCCTGAGGAAACACCATCTGAGGAGGAAACACCATCTGAGGTGAGTGCTGTTAACTCTGGAATTCTCTGTTCTTTCATTGGGAGCTTTGCTGAGAACCTCTTAAAGTCGAGGGGAGATGGTAGGCAATGGATGTCAGGGATTCCTGAGAGGAAACTGAGGGGTTACTTGCCTAGAATGCTCTTGACTACCAGCCCTAGACACTGTGGAGCCTCAGTGGACTCTGTGAGGCCTGTGGCTCTAGAAAAACTGAGCATATTTAAGCTGTCTGTCAAACAGGGTTAGGTAGCTAGTGAGGTGGGATGCAGAGAGGGAGCTGCCAGCCAGAAGCCTCCACAGAGAGACCTGCTGCCCCTCAGCCCTCCTAGCACCTCTTTGCATGCATAAGGACAGGGTTGGCAGTGAGCTACCATGGCACTGTTGTTCTTACCCTGGTACTCCAGCTTGAATCCTGGCCGGTTCTGGGAGTGGTCGCTGTGGAAGTAGACGATGGTATCGTGGGACGTGGAGAGCAGGGAGCCCGGCAGCTCACTTCCGCTGAACCTGCCCATCATGCGGCTGGTCTCGGAGGGGCCACTCCGGATTTCTAGGTAGTCGTGGTTGGGCTCCGTGGAGAAGTTCAAAAACTGGATGTGAGCACCTGGGGGGGAGGACAGAGGCAGACAGTGTACAGAGCCATGCAGTCCTGCTCCTGGAAGGCTGTCCTCCTGCAGTGTCTTCTCCAGGGTCCAGAATCCCCACTACCAAAGCCCCAACACGGCAGGTCTCCCCGGGCACATTCTGAGCTTTTCCCAAGTAGTCTGGTCATCAGGGAGGATCGGAAAGTCAGCAGGCTTTGCATTTAGGGATAAAGGCACCACTTATTTCCGAGTTCCACCTGCAGTCTATTTGATTTCATGGGAAGCCAACTTCAGGATCAACATTTGATTCCATTCGGATCATGTCTAATATCAATACAAAAATAGTCTCTCTAAAATAAACGTTCCGTTAGGAAATCACAACCCCCATTGAATCAAAGGGCACATGTAGCCTTTCTTACTGGTGTTTTCTAGAATCTTTAGGTGATTCTGAAGGGACACGGCTTGGAAGTATATATTGTCTCACCTGATCCATGGAAAAGTCAATTGAGGTTTACACTTGGGGACCTTGGTGGGTTAATCAAGATCTCTTAGCCACCTGTCAGGTTACATGGATTTAATTAAGCCCCTGGGGTACATATTTACATAAGCCACGGAGAACTGAGGTTGGAACAGAATCGTTGGTATTTGTTTACAGACAAGGGTTTTGAAAATTGGATCACTATGGGAGAACGCTCTCCGGAGAAACCTATTTGCCAAGCGAAAGAAATGCCCACACGTTGTATTGTTAACCGAGAAAATCAGGTTGGAGAAAGTACACACTGTAATAGAAAAAAATGTAGATGTCAGTTGTGATTTCTATATTCAAGAGCCTGGAAGGACACGTATTTGTCTGCTAGTGATACTAAATGAGCATGCACTATGGGCTAGTGTCATGCTAGGCACAGTCCAGAGTGAGCAAGGTGGGGTGCTCCTGGGGTTCACGAGCATCGAGCTGTCACTGAAAGACCTCATGGTGAGGTCACATATTTTGATTTCAAAATGTGTTCATCTGTGTTTGCTAGTTTGGTAGGATGAACCCTTACGAATAATTGCTTGTGTGTCTTATTATGTTCGGAGCAAAGACTTGACGGGTACTGAAGATCTTTCATCTCCTGTCCTGTGCTTTCACCTTAACTCTGTGTTAATATGATTCCATTTTATGCACCGCCTGCTTCTCCAGCTCACTGTCCTCCTACGAACACAGATTGTTTCCATACCACAGTTGTGAGTGTGTGTGTGTGCGTGTGGGCGTGGTGTGGGGTAGGGGAGGAAGCAGGGCTGTGTTCACCACCTAACGGCAGAGGCAGGTTATTGCAGAGGCTCTTTAAGCAATGACCTCTGGTGTTCTAGAGGAGAAACAGGGTGCTAGAACCCACTTGAAAGCCAGAGATCCTGGTACACCATGGACCTGCAGCAGGCTCATTGCCCAGAGCTGGAAGACAAATGTAGGACTAAGGGACAGAGTGCTTTGGTGGCTGAACACAGACTCTCAGAGGGCAGCCACCCACTTAAACTTCAGTCCCGAGCTTGAAGACAGAGCAATAGGAGCTCTGGTCCACTTTGCCCAGTGTCTCAAATCTGGACTTCACCAAGGCTGCTGAAGTTGTCACTTTCCTCAGTTTCCTTCAGGAGACAGTCCTAGCCTTCGAGGGTCACCTCACAGACTGAGAGCCCACCCCTGACACTATAAATGATACTCTGCTGTGCTTGCAGACAGGAACATAACTGTCCTCTAAGAGGCTTCATCCAGCAGCTGATAGAAACAGATACAGAGACCCGCAGCCAAACATTAGGGGGAGCTTGGGGACTCTTGTGGAAAAGTCAAGGGAAGGACTGAGGGAGCCAGAGGGGGACAAGGACACCACAAGAAGACCTACAGAACCAACAAATTGGAACTCATAGGGGGCTCACAGAGACTGAATCACCAACCAAAGAGCATGCATAGGCTGGATCTAGGCTCCCTACACGTATCTAGCATGGTCTCCATATGGGTCCTCTAACAAGTGGTGTGGCGGCTGACTCTGACTCTGTTGCCTCTAGCTGGGCTGCCTTGTCTGGCCTCAGTGGGAGAGGATGCACTTTGTCCTGCTGCAACTTAATGTGCCAGGGTGGCTGGTACCCACGTGGGAACCTTCTCTTCTCAGAGAAGAGGAGGGGTTAATGGAGGAGTGGGGGAGATCAGGATATAAAGTGAATAAATAAACAAATTAAGGAAAAAGAAAAGAGCAGTTTCCATACTGAGGCTAGTGGACTGAGAAATTCTGAGCCTGCGCCTCATAGTAAAAGGAGATGGGGATGGGGGGTAGACACCCAATGGGACATGGGGATTATCATCATATCATCAGCATTATGTGTCACAGTGAAACCCATTACCTTGTAGAGTTAATTATGCAAATACAAATGGATAAGAAAGAGGAATTTCCAGGATAGTTCTTTTCCTAAGGACAGAGCAGAATTTGGGCAAAAGGATCCCTGCAAACAAGCCCTCAGTTCCTTGTCGGTACAGAGCCTCATTCTCTTTGGCACAGGCAACCAGGGTTAAATTATATTGCCAGAACATGTCATACGAATTGCTAGCAATTAAAATTTGCACCCAGACTAATGTCCTTCGCGGGCAACAACCCCAATGCCTGGAATATTCCAGCTCCCTCTCTCAATCTCTGGCCAGCTAGAATGTGTCTATGAAGAATGCCAACTCAATTTCATATTGACCTTGGCTCAATTTAATTAGGATGATGAATGGGATGGCGGAGTTAAAAGCACAGCCTGAGGTCTGGACTCAGCAAAATGGATTTCCTTTTCTTTTATTCCAGGTAATTTCTTTCTTTTTCTTTTCTGTTTTTTTAAATGGTCCTGGAGATGGCACAAGGAAAACTCTCCAGCCCTCTATTTCCTCAGCTCCATCTCTTGTTGAGTTTTTTATTCTAAACCCCTGCGTTTAGACTTAAATTTGGTAACCTTTAACCTTTCTTCCCCTACACTTCAATCTCTGCCATTCCCCAAGACTGCACCAGACAGCAACGGATAAAGCCTGGGAAGGACAGTGCTGGGGCTGAGCTTACGCTGGGATGCGGCACTCAGCTAGTTTAATCTAGGCCTGGGCTCAGAGCTCCTGTCTCCCTAGAGGCTGCAGACTCACCAAAGCCCACGGGCAGCGAGATCTTCCAGGAACAGTCCATGTTGCTGGGGTAGTTGCCTGGGAAACCAGGGCTCAGGATCACCCCTTCCATCTCTTCCACTGCTCCCCCGCATTGCGCTGACAATGAGAGTACTCAGGTTAGGTCATACAGGAGAGTGCAGGCTAGGCAAGTGTCCAGAGCCACATTTTAAAGCATGTCTGGAGTCATAAGTGAGAACCCAAAGGTTCTCCCTGAACATCTGCACCCACGGGGAAAACTGAGCAAGTAAAGTCAGGGCTAAATCACAGCTTATGATGCTAGGAGTGCCGGCCCTGACCATGCCCTTCACAAGCCAGAAACCTCATCAAGGACATGCAGGGAGTGACAAGCTCCAATCCAAGAGAGGTCCTCCACTCCTTATATGATAGCCTCTCTCTCTCTCTCTCTCTCTCTCTCTCTCTCTCTCTCTCTCTCTCTCCTCCCTCCTCAATCCAGTCTTCATGTCATTACACAAAGGATGGAGGGAAGAGAAGGGACTGACACACATTGTGTCCTCTTTGTGTGCTTACAACTGTACCAAATCTATTTTCTATGGGGCAGGGTGGCCAGCTGTCAAGGCACACCATGACCACTTAGCTGTGATGGAGGGTCCGGTCCAGAGACATCTGATTTCAAGTTGTGAGGGACACCTCAGCAGCTGTTTGGTTGAAAACTATTTTGTATTTTACATTCTATGAGGAAAGATTGTGTGACGAAGAAAGGGGCTAATCAGCCATGGAGACCCAGGGAAAGGTGCTCAGGGATGGAAATGCCAGGGTCCAGACCAGCCCCTTCTGGGCAGATGGTGATTAGGAGGCACACCAGGACAGATAAGTACCACCGCTATGTCACAGTGCCCACTGCACGTCCTGCGGGACCATGGGAGAGTTCTACGCCACCCTGCCCATTCCAAGCCCAGTTTCCAAAGCAGCAAAAAGGTACTAAGAACAGAACCCATCTCAGAAAGCTGCTATGAGGGGACCCGGGGAAGAATGTGCTCCAGTTGGTGTACGAGAGCTGATGTACACAGCAGACGCTGTGAGTGACAGCTTATGCTTATACTGCTTCTTGGGTCAAGCCTCTGGAGTACACTGGGTGAGCACCTAGGGCTTCCGGCCAGTGTATGTGACCCACTCTACATGAAAGTGAAAGCGCAGAAGTGAAATGCTGTCACACCAATGTGACCTTCCCTTAAGTCACTACTTTCCCAGGGACAAGTGGGGGGTGCTCTACGATCAGCCCAGCGTTGACAAACCTTCCCTTTCTGTTTCTCATTTCTCTTTAGCCTTCCAAGAAAGATTTCTGAGCTGGGGAAGATGACTCAGTTTGTAAGGTACTTGCTGCGTAAGTGTGAGGTCCTGAGTTTGGATGTCCAGCATCCGTGTAAAAGCCAAGTGCTATACCTATAATCTGAGTGCTGAGGTGGGGGTGGGGAGAGAAGGAAGGGCTCTTAGAGCTCATTGGCTAGCCAACCTAGCTCAACAGGTGAGTGCCAGGTTTAGGGAGAGATCCTGTCTCAAAAAAAATTTGGAGAGTGGTTGAGGAAAACATGCATAGGCACACACACCCATACCACATGTATATACAACACACACATACCAAGTGTATATACAACATACACCAAGTGTATATATGACACACATCAAGTGTATACAACATAATACCAAATGTATACAACACATATACCAAGTATGTATATACAACATACACCAAGTGTATATACAACACACTAGGTGTATATACAATACACATCAAGTGTATACAACACACATACACCAAGTGTTCACAATGCACACACACCAAGCGTATATACAACATACATACACCCAGTGTATATATAACACACATACACACACACCAAGTTTATATACAACACACACTAAATGTATATACAATACACATCAAGTGTATACAACACACACCAAGTGTATATATAATACATACAAATGCACATAGTCCAAGTGTATACACAGCACACACTAAGTGTATATACAATATACATCAAGTGTATACAACACACACACCCCAATTGTACATACAACACTCATACCAAGTGTATACAACACATACACACACACACACTCATGCACACATACACACACACACACACACACACACACGGAGAGAGAAAGAGAGAGAGAGAAAAAGAGAGAGAGAGAGAGAGAGAGAGAGAGAGAGAGAGAGAGAGAGAGATAATTAATGCATCCCACTGGACAGCTGCAATGGAAAACATGTTGCTTGGAGTCTGTCATTTAGGAGACACCCAGCTACTATTTGTTTCTTGCTTTCTTGACCTGACCAAAATTCTCTGCAGCATCCTTGTATCTGTTAATTTCCTCAACAATGCCTAGCATAGGCTAAGCAGTGAAGTCAAGTCAGGTCCTTATTTTATGTGCAACCCACAACATTACAAGCAGATGTGTTAGTCTGTCCTTTGACAAAGTCATGAGATAAACCCAATGTGCCTAAAAATACCTTCTGGGCTCTGGCTGGTTTTGTGGGACCAGAGTGGCCCTCATAATATTCTCATGTGAGCAACCTTGTGCTTTTTTAGTTGGTGGGCAGAGCCTTCTAGAAGTCAGGACAGCTTTAAATGAGAGTCAGAAATTACAAAAATGTCTTTCAGAAACTATTGACTTGGAACAAATCTAGAACATCAGAATTTCTTTTGGCTTGAACTTGAACACAGCATTACAGCTGGGAGCTCTGATCCCTAGGGATTTGGACTTTAGTGGATTTCAGAGTTCGTTCTCTTACCAATGCAGAGCGGAGGAGGGTAGTTCCATCGACGCACAGTCCCAGGCATGCAGGAGATGTGGGCGTGGCCCTGGAGGAATCAGAACAGAAGTGGGCTAGAGGCTCCCAGGGGCACAATTACACATATAACCCAGAACAGGGGCTTGCTCCAGGCCTCACGTTAAGGGACAAGACACACAGATACATGGGATCACCTTAGGATTCGAGGTAAGACAGAAGGCTAGAGATTTGGGGGGAGACCACTTATTAAGAACCATCACTAAAGAATTCTCATTACAAGAGGTTTCCTTGTGAGTTTCCTCTAATTACTAAATTCCCTCATGGGCCCTCAAAGGGAAATTAAATTTTCCCAAAGTCCAATCAAATCCGACTTTGCAGGAATGCATTCCAGGCTGGATTGTTCAAAGTCTTTACCATCAACAAAGTTTGTTTTCGAGAGAACAGTTCCAGGAGAAGATTGCTGTCCCCAGTGGGTATGGAGGCCACAGCCATCCTTGATGGTGATAGCTGTTCTGCCACAGGACTGGGCAATCAACTCAGGGGACAGAAGTCTGCTCCCTGCCCTTGGGTTTTTATTGAGGAGAGATAGATACCTGGAGGGCATATCCTGGCTCACACTGGAAAGAGACCACATCGTTCACCAAATAGCGCTCTCCTGTCTTCACCCCATTGCTGGGTACAGCCGGTTCGGGACAACTGCTCAAGCCCACCGCTAGACAAGCCAGAAGCAGGGAGAGAGAAGGTGGCATAAGCTTGGCAGGTTAAGGTGACAGAGGCTGAGGGTACTGTTGGCTCCTTGGGGTTCAAGGCTTGCACCTTCCTAGGCACTTGCCAACCTCTAGACCTGACATGCAGAGGAAGTCAGAATGTGTAGAACCGAGGCTCACCAGGTCAAAGCTGGGACAGGGGGTACCACCTCAGGAACTGTGGATGTTTTGTGCACCTGCTGAGCTCAGTATCAGGCCACCCTGGTTGCAGAATCCCAGGCCTCTCTGAGCCCCTCTAATGTCCTTCTTGTACCTTCTCTCAGTTTCCCTCCCCTTCCTCCACCCTCAGAAGACAGTGTCTGTAGCAGAAAGAGGGGCCACCGGAAGGATAGAAGAACAAGGCACAGTTAAAGACCGGGTACTTCTCTGATGCTTAGGGTCCAGTCAAAGTCCCCTTCTCCAGGACAGGTTGTCCTGAAAGAAGTTGGCTCACCAGGACTCTCTCCTTGCTCCTAACTCAAGGTCAGGGCAGTCCCTCTATAAAGGGAGCCCCTCACACTTGGCCCTCCGTGTTGAGCACTAGCCCTCAGGCACTGTAGGCTCTTGTCACAGTCTGAGCTGCTTTCAAGTCACCCAAACTCACAGGCACTGCTGACTCTTGCAACCTCTCCTTGAGACTCTGGGCCTCCTTGCCCAGATCTTCATGGCCATCATGGATAACCCAAGGACCGGCAAGAGTAGTCACACCCCCCATGATTCACTCTGTGGACTCTCAAATTCTCCCCTGCTCATTTTTCATGACTTAAAGTTTGACCCATGTTCCTTCACTCCAGCTTTACTAATCGTCCTTCCTAAGGGTGGCCATGACATCATCATCATGGTCCTCTCGGGAGGAGCTGCTCTTTCTGAGCCTGTCCCCTGAGCGAGGCAGGGTCACTGAGCGTGTCACCTCATTCCACCAGCTTGCTGAAGGCCTTGACTGCCATCTCATAGAGAGGGAGACAGTTGCTCGTATGTGTGGTCTTAAGCCACAAAATTCAATTCAGGTCCAGATCAGTGTGACACCAGGTCTGTCCAAGGGCAGTTAAGTTCTGAGGTCACATGAGCACATTCCAGCCTGAAGATGTACGAAGTAGACCCCTGTGTGCTGGTGGACTCCATGTACGGCTCATTTCTCTGTTAGAGCTAGGAGACTCACAAGGGCGTACGGCTTGCTGGATAGAGGTCTTCTCTCCTTCAAAGTGTGCTTTGCACCTAAGTAGGGCTGTAGAGGGGTCAGCAGCCGGCATGGCCATGTGAGCTGAGCCAGGGAGGTTTGAGAGGGAATAGCCTTCCCCTTCCTGGTGGCTCCCTTGAGAGATGCAAGCTCCCTGGGCAGCCTATAGGTAGCCAAATGTCCAGGAAAAAAGTATAAGGGATTACTTGGCAGCCCAGGGAACCTGCCACTGGCCTGTCTCCCGAGTCCTCAGCCCACTTTAGAGGTAAAACTCTGAGAACATTTTTTTTTCCTCCTGAAGAAAACTGACATGTGATAAAGTATACAAATTATAAATGAATATGCCATGTGTATCCTAGCAGTTGTTATATGTGAATACGCCAAGTATATCCCATGTAGTTGATATAGGTGAATATGCTATGTGTATCCTATGCAGTTGTCATTACCATTTTAGGATATGTTGTTATATTTTATGTATATCCTATGCAGTTGATATATGTGAATATGCTGTGTATATCCTATGTAGTCGTTATAGGTGAATATGGCATGTGTATCCTATGTAGTTGTTATATGTGAATATGCTGTGTGTATCCTATGTAGTTGTTATACATGAACACGCTATGTGTAGCCTATGCGGTTGTCATTACCATTTGAGGATATATGTTGTTATATTTTGTGTATATCCTATGTAGTCATTATAGGTGAATATGCCGTGTGTATCCTATGCAGTTGTTATAGGTGAATATGCTGTGTATATCCTATGCAGTTGTTGTTACCATTGAGAATATATGTGTGTTTAGTAAATGTTTGCACTTGTGTGGTCATTACCAAAGCTAGAGGGCATCAGGCTGGGGATACAGCCAGTGGTGCCTAGCATGTGCAATGTTCTGGGTTTCACCCCTAGTACAAACCAAAATAAAAAAGGAATACATGGCTGTCACCCCAGAATACAGTACTGTCTCCTTTCCCCATTCCCAGACTGCATATGTGTCTCTGAGATGGGGCTCCGGTGCTTAGAAATGAAGTCTGTTGGTGGCTATGTCCCAACCCCTCAGCAGTGAGACAGAGCCCTAAGGATAAGCTGTAAAGCAACTGGGAAACTCTTCCCTGTGGCTACCTGCTGCTTGCCTTGGCAGGGACACACTTACCATTCAGTAGGGGAGCTCACAGTGGAGTGACTTGAAAACCGCTACTGGGGAGGTGATGAGGACGGAGGAAGACTGACTATGTCTACACGTAGGCCTCATCTATAGGAGCACTATGGTGCTCAGGTGACAATGAGCATCCTGGGATCCAACTGGCCCTCCTTCAACCACCCGGAGAAAGCTCACTCTTCTAGGAGACCCAGGTGGTCGTCTGCCTAACATCTGGTGCTGGCCCCATTCTGACGCCATCAGATCTTTCCGTGTGCCCGTGTTGTCACAGAGAAAGCCTTCTAGCATTGCCTGCATTTTCTTATGTCCAAGATTATCTACTGGGGTCAAGGCTGATGCTAAGCGGTGCCCACTCAGGCCTATGGTATCTAGAGGGTTCGCAGGTCAGTGGGTCCTGGATTTATCCCGTTGTTGAGTAGACAAGCTTTAGAGGGCCTTCTCTAGTCCTTAACCTCTTCCTATGGTCAGTGGTAGGCTTAAGTGGAAAGGAGTGGGTATGGCCCACAATGAGGGTAGGGATCCAGTTTGTCCCCACCCAGAACCCCCCATACAGCCATGACCCTGGATTCTCACTCTTGTATTCCAAGTGGAAGCCAGCAGCAGACACACTGATGTCAGAGTAGAAGTGGAGATAGAGTTGGTTGGAGGTGCTGTTCAGGAGGGCGGGCACTGTTGTTCCTGGGAGAGAAGAGCAAGTGTCACTCAGGCATATCCTCCTGGATACCAATTCCTACCTAGTTGCTCTGTTTCTATTGCCTGCTGATATTCTGTTCCCAGGATCCCCCAGTGTCCCCCGATCAAACTTACTAAATGACAAATGCCAGGTAGACAATGAGCCAGGGAAGGGAAGCCATGGATGAGCAATGCCAATGACCTATGGTGCAGGAGATGCTTCTCAGTGAGAGGGCTGGGAGTCTGGGCCCTACTCAGCCATCTTCAAAATGATTTTAGCATGTACAGCGGCGTGGTCAACCCGGCAGAGCAGGCAGTTTACCTGGGTGTGCACGAATCATTTTTCAGTCTTAACACCTGGAATCTCTGTGCCTAGCAGATTCAGGCAACCAACCCAGCCATTGGATCAAACTACACACCATGCTCTGGTACATGCTTGCCATTGGGTGGGCAGGGGTGGGGGAATCTACTTTGGTGAAAAAAGTTGGGTTGCTCCTTTGAAAAAATGAGATAACGGTGATTCTGTTTCTCGATCTATGCTCCTGAGGACGGGCAACGTATGTGACGCCAGACCTTGCATGTGAATATCCACCCCAGCGTTAGTCACGGCGGCTTCAGTAATGAACGTGACACACAGATCTACTGAGCGGCGGGTGGGAATATGAAGAAATGGCCTCTTCACACAGCACAGCGCTAATTCCGACTGACGCTGGGTGAATCATGTGGAGGCCTGGCAGAGAGCCACATGGTGTCAGACTTCATCGTATGAACTTGGACTAGGGAAAGTCCGTGGGAATGGAAAGATCGGTGGTGGCCAGAGTCTGGGGGGTGGGGCAAGCGGGGGGATGGAGAGTGAATGAAGTTGGCACTCGGTTTCTTCAGGACAATAGAAATAAAAAAATGTGCTCTGGGATTAGTTAGAACTGATGCTTGCAGACCAACATGTACAATTACGTGGTCAGCCCAGCAGGGCAGACAGTTTCTCTGGACATGCATGAATCTTTTTTTCTATCTTAATATTATGGATTTCTGGGCCTGGCAGAGTCAGACAATTTCTCGGGCCATTGGGCAAAACCATATACCACATGCTGGCACATGCCTGTCATTGGATGGGCAGGGGGGATACCAAGCCTCATCCAGTGGTGATGATGATGATGGTGATGATGATGGTGATGGTGATAGGAGTGAGGATGATAAGGATATTGTCTATCACAACCTCCATATGGAAGCCTTGGATGTCCCATCTTACCAGAGAAACTCCCCAGCATGGTTACGGTGTTATCTGCTCCATCAAACACTTCTAGAGAGTCCCAGTTCTGCTCTGTGACAAAACTGATGACTTGAATCTGGACAGACAGAAGGACGGAGTTGTCAGTCACACGGCTCAAGTGCCTCCCTCCCTTCTCTTCCAATGGGCTATTTATTTATTTATTTATTTATTATTTACTTATTTTGGAGGCAGGGTCTCACATAGCTCAGGCTAATCCTAAATCACTATGTTGCTGAGGATGGCTGAACTTTTAATCCCCCTGCCTCTGCTTTCCTGGGGGCCCTGATTATGGGCGTGCACAAGCACACCTGGTATATGTGGTGCTGGGAATTGAACCCAGGGCTTTGTGTACTCCACGAAAGAACTCTACCATCTGAGCCACCTTTCTGGCCCCCTTCTCACATTTGGAGTATTCTTTGGGTTTCCTTCTCCCACTGGTTGTGTGCATCTGGGGTACTGATTGCTTCCTTGGCCTGGCAGGTTCTGGCTCCTCTCCCATGCCTCCCTGTGCTGCTCTTGCCCTGGGCATATGTTACGTAGCCCCGTGTGTGTCTGGTTGTGCCCTCCCTGCTTTGCTTGTGCTTGGTGATCTGCTCCTTTCCCGCTCATCAGCAATGCCCCCTTTCTCGCCTTAATGATCTTAGATAAACGTCTCAAACCATTTGAATGTCTCCTAAGAACCTTCCAAATTCACATTGCAATTGTAAGTCCACTTTTTCTCTGGGCCCTCTTGACTGGCTGGACTTAATTTCCTGTCCTTCCTCCCACAGAGATGCTGTGATCTTGAGATGGGGAGCCATATTTCTATATCCACAATGTGTTTCCAGTGACACAGGGACAAGGACGGAGCTGTTGTTTCTCCTTCCACATCAGTCCAACAGCAGCCACTTAACTGAGGTGTCTCTTTGCTCCTACCTGGATGCCAGCACCTTCGGGGACCATGATCTTCCACACGCAGTTGAGGCTGTTGAGGTATGGCTCTGGGAAGCCGGGGGAGAGGATGGTTCCCCTGCGCTCCGTGAGGTTGCCACCACATGGCACTGGGAAAAGACACAGGTTGGTCAGAGGCTCCTTGGCTGGTCTTTGTGGTGGCTCCACGAAAGCCTCTCTGTGCCTACCTCGGGGACTTGAGCTTTGGGGCTCTGCTGAGCCCCCTCCTGGGCTAGCTTCTCCTACAACTTCCAACCCCATTTCCCTCAGGATCTCCAGGCTCTGCTGGATCACCTGCAAGTGCTTGCCTCTTCCTTGCCCTCTGTGCCTAGCTCACTCTGTCAGGGTTTCCAGGAAGTTCTAATTCATCTTGTGCTGGTTTCTCCTGTAGCCCCCAATACCCCTCCACCACTCTCACAACCTGTAGGGTCCCTGGCCTTGCTTGCTGGGTCTCCTTTTCATGATGGCTTCTCCCTCTGGGACCTCTTGCTCTCAGTCTTCTTGGTGACTTGACCTCCGACAATGGTCCTCCAGTGGCCTGTACCTGTTCCTCTTTTCACAGCCATCCCTGTTCAGTTCCTTCCCCTGTCTGTGTTCACACTGCACCACAGGCCCAGGGAGTTATTTGGCCTGCATGGGACTTTCTCCTGGGTACTGAGAAGGGCTGCTGTGTGCCTTGAGGGTATCTCTGATGGTTGGCTGCATCCCTCAGGGAGAAAAGTCTACCCCTAGTCCTTCCCTTCCTCAGGTTCTCCTTTCCCCTCTGTCTTGCCCTTACCCACTTACCCACACTTACCCACACAGGTTGGTGCAGAGACATTCCACTGGGCCAGTGCCCCAGGTACAGGGAGGCACTCGATCTCTGGGGACCCCTGAAGGGCATAGCCCGAGTTGCATTCAAAGCGAATGATGGCCCCTACGGAGAAGTCACTGCCAAGCCTCTTTCCGTATCGAGGTTCTGGCACAGAACTGCACTGTGTGGCGCTGGTTCGGGGTACCGCTGTGGGAAAGAGGGGCACTCAGTGTCCAGGCTACCCCCCTATAGAAACTGGCCCATGGATGCATGCAGGACAAGGCTGGAGGGGGCTCTGGAGCTCAGGGCACCTTTTAAGGCTGGCATGGGCACTTTCCGGGGCAGGGACCATTTTGAGGCACATGGCTGGACTCAATGTTGGAAGCAGTTTCTGGGAATCATGATGGCTAGCAAGAGCCCCAGGGCCTAGACTTCAGTCTCAGGGCTGTTCTTTGCTTTCCTAGTGATCCTTCTTTCTTCCCAGGGCCTCGTGCTCCATAAAAGCAACAACCCTTTCTGCCCCCACTCTCTGAGGCATCATGGTGATCACTGGCTTCTCTTAAGCCCATGCCCAGGGTCTGCAGCTGACTTGAACCTAACGGTGGCTTGTGGGACTTATGGTGTCCCTTGTAGTGGAATTGGCCCCACACAGGGATATAGGTGAGCAGTGTAGAAGACACAGGGAGGGCTGTGCTAAGACACTGGTGGCTGTTGCTGGGTAAGGGTAGACTGGATTTGGCAGGTCAAAGCAAGAATGCCCCAAGCTACTGCTGGGTCTCAGTGACCTGGATTGAACACTGATTGCCTGCCGGACTCTTTTGAACTGGCCAGCCGGCCATTAGTATTACCCAGATTCCATACACAGCAATTGGTGGTGCTGAGGAATGGAATGGCTGGTGTCACCTCCCTGATGAAAGCCTGTTTGCCCCATCCCTTTACTATACACTGCAGACAAAACCAAGTTCCATGAAGTAAAAGGACTGGTCTGATGTCCCAGCACCATCAGACATGCATTAGACATTGTGTGTTGGGGTGGGCTGGGGGAGGGAAGACAGGGAGAGTAGAAAAGGAATTAACTTCCCAATTCAACATAGAATTTAACCCAGAAACCGTTGCTTGAGTAAACGGATGTCTACAACTGAAAGAAACTATAGCACACATTGTTCCCCGCCCCGAATCTTCATACGAAGGTGTAGATAGGAGGAGAAAGGTCTCTGTTCCTTGGGGCACAAAGTTACTGAGATGACTTCTGACCCTCCGAGGTCCACATCCTACATACCTTGGTAGACAAAGTGGAAGCCCCTGGCTGATACTTGACCTTTGGCGCTGAACTTAATGAGAACTTGGTTGGAGGTGGCCAAGGGCAGCGATTCTCCTGCCGAGAGGAAGGAGGAGAGAGGAGGACAGTGAGTGTGGCTGTAACTCTCCGCAGACAGAGTCCGGGTTGGGAGGGAAGGGCAGCCAAAACTAACACAGCGACTCCTTCTGTATTCCTGGACTCACTGCAACCCAACATGCAGCCTGCACCTTACAGCAGGACGCTCACAGACGGGGTCTGAGGATGTGGCTCAGTGGTAGAGTGCTTGCCTAGGATGCACAACACTCTGGGTTAGATCCCCCAGCACTGCATGAGCTGGGCAGAGTGGTGCACACCTCTAATCCCAGCACTTGGGAGGCAGAGGCAGGAGGATCATAAGCTAAAGGCCAACCTCCACCATCAGTTACGCAGCATGCCTGAGGCCATCCTTGGCTACATGAGATCCTGTCCTCTCCTCCAAAGCACTGAGATGGTTTTACATCCACTACCCGTGGTCACCGTGAGGCCGGCATGGCAGTGCTCAGCATCCTCGCTTACAAAACGAGATGAAGAGCTTTGGAGAATCACATGAGATCACCTGAAAGCTCTGGCCTTTCCCAGATCCCCTTGATGTGATAGACGTGTATGACACAGACTAGCACATCCCTGAGAGGAAAGGAAATGCTTGTCAGGACACTGAACAGGACAGCTCAGCGGAGGCTGGGACTGTCGTGGGCACTCCAGGGTGTGTCATCCTCCAGCCACATGGTGTAGAGGGTAGGGAAAGCTGGTAGGGACACAGGCTGGTGTGGTACAGATGGAAGGGGGAGGGGAAGGACAGTGCCAGCTGGTTCCACAGCCAGAAATACAGGCCAGTTCATCCCTCTCTTCCTGCAGAAGCTTGGGCACAATGTGGCAATGGGCAGTGACATGAACCCTCTGCATTTTGCCTCTCTGTGACCTTAGGGACCCCTGACTTCATCTTCCAAAAGGAAGTGAGATTTATAGAGGTTCAGGCTATGTCCACCTGGAAGAGGGTAGCAGGGACTCATTGAGAAGACTCCCTGATGCCTCTAGTAAGCCCCTTGCTGCTCACCAGCCACGGGGATCAGGGAGAATCTCAGCATGCTTAGATTTACATGTGGCCCAGAGTCATTTACCCTATCTAAGAGTCATTGCTCCAGATAACTTCTGGCTGCTGTAGCAGACGGAACCCTGGGAAGACAAAGTCTCCCCATTCATTACGTTGTCCTTCCCAGCTCTCCCTCGCTAGGGAGATGAGCAGAGAGAATCCCCGTTCTCCAGTCCTCCTAATATCTGTGAACGAGGACCTGAGGGATGGTCTCACACTTCCTTCCTGCTCCTGGGAAAGCACAGAAATCACTGACCACAAGAAAACTTCTAAGGAAGAGGCCACTGCAAGACGTCAAAGCAATTCTTTCATGTAAATTACAGTGGAGAATAGAAGGAAAGGTTTTCAGCCATGATTGCACAAGGTTAAGTGGAGAACAGCACCTCTGATGCCCAAGGAAGGTACTGCAGAGGAGGCCGTGAGATCCGCAAAGGCTACGCAGGAGGAGATGCTAGCTCTAATATGTGAGTTAGGACATCCTGACATGTGGCTTGTGGATTGTGCAGACAGACGTCCAGAAATGACGTGGACGTGACATTAGGGTACTCTCTCAGAATCTATAGGGAAAGGACACAAAGAGATCAAAGTCACGAGAGAAAAGAAGAGACACAGAAGTTAGACGGGAAAATCCAACAAGCAGATATGGGGAAATTCCAGAGAGAGAAGGAAGAAAGCCCCAAGGAAAAGAATTTAAGAAGAGAGACAGCTGCCAAGCTGTGGCTCAGGCTGCAGCAGCTTGCCAAGCAGCAGATGAAAAAAAGGAGCTTGGCTTGGAGGGAGGGCTGTTTAATTTCCTAAATAAGAAAACACGAGAGTCCCGTGGACAGTGAAGCATTGGTGATTCACAAGGACAGGGACTGAGCTTGGATCCAGGTTTGTCTGTAGTAGGAAATGCTGGAATAGGACAGAGCAATCTGCGCAGGTTTTTTCCAAGACCTGTAATTTGATTTGTAAGCAAGTTGGTGTTCCAGTGCCATGCCAGGGGAAGGGATTTGTGAATCTGCAAGGTGATTGGTGTGTATATGTGTGTGTGTGTGTGCACGTGTGCGCGCAGGTGCACACTCTGTGGTTCTGAGCCTCGGTGAAGGAAAGAACTGAAAGGGAGAAGCCTGAAAGAGCTAGCAAGGACGAACTGCTAGGGAATGGCTCAACAACTACTGTCAATGAGGTAAGGACCAAAGGCCAATGTCAAGACTTATCCTTGGGTGAGAAATTTATGACTCAAAATTAAGCCGGGCAGTGGTGGCGCACGCCTTTAATCCCAGCACTTGGGAGGCAGAGGCAGGCGGATTTCTGAGTTCGAGGCTAGCCTGGTCTACAGAGTGAATTCCAGGACAGCCAGGGCTACAAAAGAAACCCTGTCTCAAAAAAACCAAAAAAAAATTTAATTACTAAGATCATTAGCATAAAAGCCCAAGTACACAAATGATAAAATATTAGCACTGAAATTCAAATTCAAACAATCTACGTGGATATACCAGGGACCAGAGAAGGAAATCAAAGGAAAACCACTGAGGAGCAGGAAATAGAAAAGGGAGCAAATGTATGTAGGCGATGGCGCTTCTCACCCAGCAGCCGAGAATTAGTCTAGCTTCATGGAACTGGAGTTACAGATGCTTGTGAGCAAACGCCTAGGTGCTGGGAATTGAACCTAGGTCCTCGTCAAGAGCAACAAGAGATCTAAACCGCCATCTCATTAGCCCCAGAAGACACATTCTTAACTCTTGGGCAAAAAAGAGTATCAAGTATTAAAGTAGTATATCTCAAATAGTGCATATCAAAATGAACGGCACAGAGCCCAAATGAACACACTGCTCTGCGCATGTGCAAACCGAGCACACTACTGTCAACACCTGCATTCTTTCACAGGGAAAAGCACCAACGACACTCTCCACTCAGGATGTCAGGACAAGAAAAACAGTACTTTGAAGAAGCAGCAGAAGAGAGAATCTATGAAATAAAAGCAGCGGCTAATTAAACTAATTAAACAGTAACAAACTCCAGAGAAGCACCGATCAATTTGGAGCAATAAGAATTCCCCAAAGCAACAGAATCTCATAAACCTCTGGCACAGCTAAGCAGGGAAGGGGATCATGGACATGGCACTTAGAGCTCCAGAGGCAGGGAACATAGCACTGGAGCGAGGGGCATCAAAAAAAAAAAAACCCTCACATATTACATAAATGATATCACTAAAGTGAAGAGAAATTCTGAAATGAAGTTTACCAAAAGATAAAATATTAGCATTGAGATTCAAACAATCTACCTGGGCAGACCAGGAACATGGACGGGGTGGGGGCTGGAGGTGGGGGGAACCACTGAGGGGCAGGAAATAAAACAAGGAAGCAAATGTGATTACAAATGATGGAGCTTCTCACCCAGCAGCAGAGAATTAGCCTGTGCTATTAGCACTATTGAGGACGGTCCAGTGGGTTTATAAGAGGAATACACTCTGAATGTCAGTCTTAGAATTGACTAGCAAAGACCAGCTAGAAAAACATGAAGGGAGGGGAAGAGCCTGTTTATAATAAGAGAGCAATAAAGACTGCTAAAAACCTCCACGAGACAGCTGCGAATAAAGTCAGGAACAACAGACACAAATCACTACCGCTTACTGAAAGCGGCAGCTTCCCCTGCAGTTTCCAACAGGTAAATGGAGAGATGCGTCATAGTCCCAGATGGGGACAAGTGTTAGTATAAAGATGTATGCTCTCTCCAGCATAATCCATACATTTTGTGAAATTATAGAGATAACTCCTATGTATTTTTTTCTTGTTTTCCATCAGTGTCTCCTGTAGCCCAGGCTGACCTTGAATCTGCTATGAAGCTGAGATTGATCTTGAACTTCTGACTCTGTGCTTCCCAAGTGCTAGGATCACAGACCTGCATCACTGCATGGAGTTTTTGCAGTGCTAGGCATGGAACATAGCTGCCTTTATATAACATGCTAGGCTAGTATTCTACCAGCCGAGCTATACTGCCAGCCCTATACATGTTTTAAAACTGACAAAATATTTCTAGATAATATTGGGAGATTAAAAACAAGCAGGAATGGCCAGTATAAAAAAAGCCACAGGAGCTGGTTGTGGTATGGCGTGCCTGGGAGTCAGGAGGATGAGAAGCTTGAGACCAGCTTGGGCTAAGTAGAAAGACCTGGCAAAACAAAAACAAAAACAAAAACAAAAACAAAAAATCAAACAAAAATGTCAAACAAAAAATGAACACACTTTAAATGACCACACCTTTTAAATGACCACACCTTTTAAATGACCACACCTTTTAACGTTATTAAAGACCTGGATAGGTGGTTTAGTATTAAAAGCTCTGAGTTTGGTTCCCAGCATCCACAAGGCAGCTCACGACCATATCTAACTCCAGTTCTAGGGGATCTGCTGCCCTCTTCTGGCCTCTTTGGTAACTGTATACATGTGGTGCACTTCTGTACATGCAGTCAAAACTCCCCTACACATAAAATAAAAATAAATCTTTTAACAAGTTATTAAAGCACCAAGTACATTTATAGTTTTATAATAACTGAAACCTGCACAGGGAGAAATATATACTTGGAAGAAATGTATAGGGAAAGAGCCAAATACCCGTAATAATTAGAATATGTAAATCTGGCATTTTGAAAATCATATCAGGATGACTGATTAATTGGCTCGAGTCTCTGCAGCAAATAAAGAGTCAAAATAAAATCCAAAGGCGTTGAGGCAAAGAGATGGAACTAAAGAGGAGAAGGAGAAGACAGAGGGATCTTCATCTGCTATGTGTACAAGCAAGGACGTAAAAGAGGAAGGATCTATTTGACCTTTCAAGGGACACTTTAATTTTCTGATATCAAAACATACCCTGAAGAAAATTACATGGGAAATGGCAAAGTGGAGGGGGGAGGCTTTTCATATTGTGTAAGACTCCTATGCTATAGACTGTATGTTGCCCGTAGCCACCTGGGGCTCTATTTCATGAATAAAAAGATGAGGGCTAATAGAAAAATCGACCCAAATTTGCAACAAGGATGCATGGGCCAATAAACACATTATAAAAAAGGTCACCCCCTCACTTGCCATAAAAAAAGGCAAATTAGAGAATGATATACTACTTATACATTTCAAATTGATAACTTTTTAAAAATTACCTCATTTTTGGTGAGCAAAGCTTCAAGACATTTGTATTGGGGTTATTTGACGATCTATACAAAAAAGCCTCAATGATCTCAATGCATTCTTTTTTGAAAGATGTATTTATTTTATGCATATGAGTACACTGTAGCTGTCTTCACACACACCAGAAGAGGGCATCAGATCTCATTATAGATGGTTGTGAGCCACCATGTGGTTGCTGGGAACTCAGGACCTTTGGGAGAGCAGTCAGTGCCCTTAACCACTGAGCCATCTCTCCAGCCTCACTCATTGTATTCTTTAACTTAGAAACGCTGAGGTGCAGGCAGGGATATGAATAAAGGTATGTGTAATGCAGTGAGCTAATGTTCACAATGCAGAAGCAGCTAAACGCACAGCACTGGGGAATTTGTTCTATAAATCTTAAATAAGCATAGGAGAAGCTACCAAGAAGCACTAAAAATCCCATTATAAAAGAGCTACATAACGCTGGAGGAAAGTTCATGGAGAGTAATTACAGTGAAATACATATACTGTTTTATTCAATAAAAGATGTGAGGGTCTGTCTGAGTAGTTCTGAAGAGCAGAGGGACACACATTATATCCTGGCAACCTGACAACTTCTGAGTGGTGTTTATTTACAATTCTCCCTTATGGGGATTTTGGTTTGACCCCAATTTTTTTTCAGTGAAAACACAACATACTGATAGTGAAAAGAAAAGATGGGGTCTGGATAGGAGTATATATCAATCAGTTATGATTATGGAGGAGTTATGGGTCCTCTGTTATGTGTGGCCCTTCTGATGTGTAGACATTATTACAGATTACAAACCAGCACATTTTTGATCACGATGCTTATAGAACCTCGTTCTCAGCTTTAGTGCTGGGATGGCCCTTCCTCACCACCACCTCCACCCCATCCCACCCCAATCCCTTGATGGCCCTGTGTACCTGTGTGAGAGCCCGAGAGTGAGCTGAGGAGTCGGGAATGCTGGCTGTAGCCATCATGTACCTCCACGATGTCATTGAGGGCTGTATGGAAGAAGGCAAACTGGCCAAACACCACTGTGGAGGAGACATAGCATGGGAATCTCAGTGCAGGGGACTGGCAGGCTGCGGAGGGGTATGGGGAGGAGATGGAGGTCTGCTGGCTTTAGGGCAGGGGGAGGGCAGTTAGAGAGAGCTACTGGTGCAAGGGTCAACAGTTAGCATGGCTTTCTGCTGCAACATTAGCACATGACAACATTGGGCACAGGGACACAGACAGCTGGGGAGTCCCTGGCTAGTCTCCATAGAGGTCAAGTCAACATTCACACCTGCACCCAAGGTCATGCTAGGTGGAGGCAGCCTGAGTCAATCTTACTCTCCTCTACGTAACAGCTGCTGCAGGACTTGAAAGGGTTACTGGTAACATCCTCCATTCCCCCCCCACCTCCCCCATCTCAGGAACCTGTGAACACCTTGGCTTTTTTTTTTTTCTTCTCAAATTCCCAGCCAACCAGGTCAGCTCCTTGGGCAGTAAGAGGTGTGAGAGTGGGGACCAGCCACTGGCCCTGGCCCCGAGGCAGGAACATACAGCCATCCTACTCATCCAAAAGAGGATGTGGCACTCACCTAGCACCCACTGGGACCACACTAGTTACGTGTAGTGACTTCTGTGGCTTTCCCAGAAATGATTCATATTTTGTAGACCAAGAAGCAGAGGCTCAGAAGTTAAGAGTTCCTCAGACCATTCTGTTAATTTAAGAAGGGACCCCATGCCCCTGTCAGGAACTCAAGTCTCCATCTGGGAACAGCAGGGGTTTCCTCAGTCCTTTTCTCTGCCAGTCAGTGCTGAGGAGTGGGGTTCACCATGGACACAGCTCCTACCCACCTGACTGCACCTGTCTCCCGTGTCTTGTCAACTAGAGCCAGGTAGGTCCCATCCCTGCTTTGGCTCAGAATCTTCAGCTCATAGGAATCAGGACGTGTGTGTGTGTTTATATGGGTTGTGTGTGTGTATGTTGTGTATGCGTGCATGTTGTATATATTTTCTTTAGGTCATATGTGTATATGCTTTTTGTTTTGTATATATTGTGTGCTGGGGCAGAGAGGGAGGGATTCAGGCCACGGAGTAGACTGCTCGGTATAAAACAGTCTGCAGTGTGGAATGTAGCAGCCACTGGAGTAATCTTACTTCTTGAATATGGGCCGAGGAGGAAAGGGAGAACACGGGGAGAGGAATATTTCTATACCCTGAAAATGGGCACAACACTGGGTGACTGGGGTCTGCCATCCCACAGAGGTGAGCAGGATACACAGAGTTCCTGCTTTCACAGAGTGTGCAATTTAGTGTCTTCCCACCCAGTCTCACACTTCAACTAAACAAGAATCTCAGAGAGCTTTATTTAACTCCTAGGGTAATGGGGCAGCATGGAAGGGTGAGGCAGGCTACTTCTGAGAAGGGGATCACAGAAAGGTCTCTGGCAGCAGGATGTCAGAATGGAGCTGGGGGCAAGTCATTCCTGCCTGCAGGGGAAAGTCTGCTCCTCTTCCCTGGGCTCAGGGCTTGGCCTCACTGACAAAGAGGAGCTCCCTGGAGCACAGTGTCCTTAGCAGCCAGTACTCATGGACCTCGTGGACAGCTTTTAGCTGTGTGATGCTGACCAGGCCAAGATGGACTACTGGCAAAGGGCTGAGCTCCTTGCCATGAGAGCAACTGAAACATAGGGCACGCTGACTATCCATCAGGGATTCATGACTTCCCGCAGTGGAATCCTGTAGGCCTAAAGCTCCTGTCTCAGTGGGGGCGGGGCGGTGTGTGCACACATAGCTAAGGGTGCAGGTGCTGGGGCAGAGCTGTGGCTGAGGATGAGACTGCGAGTTGCAGAGACAGGAATGTGTCTCCCACCTGGGTGACACCAGGCCTCAGGGGAGCAGATGGCCCTGCTGGGTGGCACTAAATGCTTGCTGAATGATTCAAGCATCTGGGCACTGCCCTTTGCTCTTCCCATCCTATGTTTGTGAAGATGTACCATGGTTTGTTCTAGATGATGAAGATGACAGTCCTTAGTCCTTCAGCCTGGGTGTCTTGGGATCTGGAAGTTTCTCTGACTTCTTAGGGCAGATACTTGCCTCATGGGTTCCTTACTCTTCCTACTTACCACTGCTGGATTTTCCTCAGATGGGCAACGGGAGTGATGTGGTTCCCATTCCTCCTCCCTTACCAGTACCTTCAAAGCCATCGCCATCCCACCCCTTCCCTCTTTCCTCCTGCTTCCTCGGCCCCTCACACCTCGGCCCCCAGTAGGCTGGATCTGCTGCCCTTCTATTCCTGCCAATCTATGCTGTGCTGAGGAGACTTGGGGAACCTGGCCTTTATAAGCCACCAGTTCATGCCCACCCCCATGCCTGTGGATGCCCTTCTTTATCCTCTGGCCAGGAAGCCTCCTCCTGGTGTATCCCAGGATACCATGCTGCCCCACCTGAGAGGCACAAAGAGCTTGCCATTATGGAAGAAACAGGGGAGGAATCCAAAAACAGGAAAGCAAACCAAGGAAACCCTACCATAGTCCTTAGGCACGGTGACAAAATACAAGCAGGTCTGTCCACTGGTGTAGTTCTGGGGGTAGTTTGGGGACAGGACCACTCCATCCGAACCCACATACTGTCCACCACAGGGAGCTGAAAAAGAAGCCAGAGAGGGACCTGGTAACTTGGTGGCCTCTTATCAGCTGCCTGTCTTCTTTCAGTCCAGCTTGAGCCTCTGGCCCTGTCCTGGCCAAGGACACCCACTTGTCCTTAGCCTGAAATCTACTGAAGGACACACATCAGCCTTTGCCATGGAGGTAGTAACACTGGCTTGAGCCCGTCCTTGAAGGCACATGCTTGGGGCTTACGACTGGAGGCTTTCCTGCTTATATGTAGGACCTGGGCATGGTCTTTGATTCCATGGCTGATGCAGGCACTGGTGTTTATTGAGCTTCTTTCCTCGAACTTTACCTCCTGGGGACCACACAGCCAAGCTGTTCCCATTCTTGGTGCCAACTTCCACACCTGGCCTTGGTGCTGGCCTCTCCCATGTACCCACGCTGAGTCTTCATTGTTTTTTAGTTTGGGTGGCCCCCATGCTCTTGGGGGTTTTGACACACAGGTGACAACACAGATCATCTTGTGGCCTTACTTTACACGGACATCACTCACAATGTCCTCAGCCTCAAGGGTAAACCCAAGGTCACCTTTATCCTCCCTCCCTGGTATGTACCTCCTTGGGTAGCAGGCTACAAGCCTCAGTTGAGTGTCCATCTGAATGGGAGTAGGCACACTCAGGAGAGATGATCATCCAGAGGGACTGAGACGTTGGGTGAATGATGAAGCCATTCCCCTTTGTTGTAAACTCATTTGTCAGACCCTGCTTGTGTCACAGAAGTACCCCTGAGGCCATGTCCTCCTTCCTCTCCCTCACCACAGACCCTTTGGCCCACATCCATCATAAGGAATCCCTTGGTCCTTAAATCCCCAGGGTCCTGGCTGTTCTCACCTGTGCAGACTGGCCTCGGGTTGTTCCACATTGGCTTCCCATCAGGCCCGAGGATGCAGCTCAGGGTGGAGGCACCCTCAACCTCGTAGCCCCCATGGCAGTAGTAGGTGATGGAAGAGCCGAGCTTCAGGTCGGAGCCCACTCGAGTGCCGTTCTTGATGGTGCCAGGGTCAAAACATGACTCTCTTGGGTTTTCTGAAAATCCAGACAGATGGACAGACAGAGAGAGCGAGAAAGGGGGCGAGAGGAATTCATTAGTGACCTATGAGCAGGACAGAGGGTCTCAAGATGCTCAGTCCATTTCCCTTCATGTCTAGAAACACCTCTACATTTTATTAGGAGATCTGAAGTTGAGAATGGTGTTCAGGATTGATGCTCTTCTCCTTGGTCCTTGCTATGATCCACAGAGGAGGAAGCGGGTTCTTTGCCTTGGGTATCCATTTTTATCTCCTTGATGGCTTCCCCAAGGGGATCAAGTACTGCTCTGGCTACAGTGAGCCAAGCCCCTGCCAACATCCTGGGGGAAGGCAGAGGACTCACAAGAGAAGATCAGTGCTCAGGCCCAGCCCCTGGCTCCTCTCTCACCTTAGACAGCACAGGCTAGGTTTCCTTGGCTTCCTATCTCCAGCCATATATCTGGCAATAGACAGTATTTGAAAACATTATGGGTAGAGCTGACTACTGCTCTGCAAGGCTCACAAAAGGGCACTAAACCCAGAACCAGGGAGGAAGTGGAAAACCTAACCCCTACCTCTGGTTGGATGCCCCAAACCCCTGTGATGTTCAATTTATTGAAGTAATAGTGTTTTCTGTCTGGCCACAAACTCTGCCCAGACAGGCAACTGTGGACGTACCCAACTCATTTATTCTTTTTGACACCTCTCTGTACCATACTTAATGTTTCCTAAGGGCTAGGAGTACTAGCTGGAGTCTGAATAGCTGAAGGAGACCTAACACTACGATCTTTCTTCCCATAGAAATCCTAAGACATCCTGGAAGGCAGCCCTTCCTCCACTTGTCATCCGGACTGTCACCTAGGCAGTGGCAGCACACTGCTAAGGCCAAATGACACAGGGAACCTGTCATTGGCCCTTGGGTTTTGGTTAGAGTGTTGATGCTGTGCAACTCTTAACATGCTAGCCCTTGGCACAGGGGCTCTGACACGGACAGAGCTAAGGAGGGAAGAACTGGAAGAGAAGATGTCAGAGTTCAGAGATAAATGGCTCAGGAGGAATTTTGCTGAGGGCAGTCCCTGTCACCTGGGTACCTTTTAGAATGCACACACACATGGCAGCCATTGCTCCAGGCTGTCACTTAGCTGCCAATCAGCCTGTTGAGTGATGGGGCAGGACCCCCAGGGCCTATAATCCTGTCATGTCCATCAGCTCTTACATTTGAGCCCTCCTAATGGTCCCGTTCTTCAAGGCATCCCCACAGAGCTGAGCATGCAGCAGTCCTGGGTGTATTGCTGGGACTCACTGGGCCCAGAGAACCTTCACTCGCCTGGCAAAAGGCCCCTCTTCAGCTTCCTAGTGTGTACCATGGTACATCACCCTGACCCCCCCACCCCCGCCCCGCATCAAATCTGGCCTTTCCTTATGCCTGAGGCTCTGGCTAGATTAGAAATGGCCACTGGACGAATCAGATTCAAATCTCAGAGATGTGATGACCTGTCACCATAAATTCATAATGAGTCAAATCGTATTTGAAACTAAGAAATTGAAACCAAGCTCACACAGCCTGAATCAGCTGTGGTGCCTGCATTCCATTTCCCCTTCCAGTCTCAGTGATGGAACCCAGGTGTGACTGACAGTTTGCAGGGACCAGGTAAGACCTACATATCCCAGACTCTTGGGCAGCCAGGTCTGGCCTAGGAGATGGAAAAAATGCAAGTAAGACCTTCTATTTCCCTTAGAGGAGACAAAATCCTTCCAGGTCTACACAGTCCTGCAGGTGTCCCCCCCCCCCCGTCATTCCCTCTGACGTCACTGCCTGTTGTTCCTTTGACGACTTTCTCAATACACACAAGCCTCTGTGCATAGTATGTCCCCATATTTGGATAGGTCCCTCTCACTGTTTATATTGAATGAACCCATTGACTCCAATCTTTATGCTACATATACTCCTGGTGTGGCATCATTCCCTGGTGCACGGTTGGCCTACTCAGGAGACATATACTTAAGGGAAACTGACCCTTCCATATCCAGAAGTCCCTAACTGTACATGGGTCCCCACTTGCAGTAAGGGCTCATGAACCCCTTCCTACACCATGCTAGGATGACTGGCTCTTTCTAATGTTATCCTGTCTGGGTGGGTTTCTTGAACTTGGCTTTCTCCCTGACAGATATGCTTCTCTTTCATGATAAGATGCATTCTATTCTCTTGATAGGCAAGACAAGGACATTTATTTCCAGTGACTTTCAAACTCCTGGAAGATGGGGACAATCACTTAGTCTTCTTGTAGCCCCAGCAACTTAGCACCAGGGCCAGCCTTGTATGGTACAGAGAGTGGGCTACTTTGTCTGGCTGAACAATGAGGGACGTGGCCATCCAACAAGCTCCAGGAGCCAGTGTGTATTCACATCTGCACACATTTCAGAAGAGGACGGGTTTTCCATCCTGAGTGCTATTACACTAATAACAACGATGACAGCCCACCCACGGGGATGTCACTTTGTCAGTCTCAAAGCCCCTCCGAATCTGTCATCTCGCCTCTGTCCTCAGCCCTCAGCAGGCAGAGCACAGTCACACTCCAGAAGCCACATGAAGGATGTGGTGATCAGAGAGGCAGAATGGGTTCTCCAAGCCATTCAGCTAGTGAGAGATGGAATGGGGATCAGAAATAGACCTGCAGCCCGCCCGAGCTTGACTGTAAATAATAGAACAGGATGACCAGCCATCACCATCATGGTCATAAGTGAAACACAAGCTACCCAAAGCAGCAACACAGAAACAGCTTCTTTCTGGTCTTCACAGACGAGCTCCATTCCTGCTCTTTCTAAAAACAAAATCCTGGAACAATAGTCAAAGCGTTCAACCAGTCAGGGGAGTGGTTACAGAGGTGGGATGACGACTAAGGAGACAGAGACGGCTCAAGTCAATGAAGTGCTTGCCCTGCAAACATGGGACTCAAGTTTAATTTTTGGAATCTTGTGTGCAAATTCTGGGTGTGAGATTGTGTGCCTGTAATCCCAACATGAGGCTAAGATAGGTGGGCTCACTGGCCAGCTAGCCTTGCTTATATAGTCAGATTCAGATCAAGAAGAGACTCAAAGGATGGAGAAAGCACTCTCGAGGATGAAATGTGAAGGGTGAATTCTGGTCTCCTCATGCACCTTTATTCACACACACACACACACACACACACACACACACACAGGCACACACACAGACATACACATATACAGGCACATACAGACACAGGCACATACATACACACACACAGGCACACACAGACACACACACAGACACACAGACACATACATAAACAGGCACACACATTCATAGAACCAAGCACACACATATACATACTCACACAGACATAGGCACACACATGCACCGACACACACACAAAGGCACACACAGACACACACAGGCACACACAGATACACACACACACACAAACACAGGCATACACATTCAAAGACTCAGGCATACACATATACAGACACACACATACACAGACACATACACAGGCACACACAGACACATACACAGGCACACACATTCACAAATTCAGGCACACACATATACAAACACACACATACACAGACACACGGGCACACACATGTACAGACACACATAGACACAGACACACACACACATACACAGGCACACACATTCACAGATTCAGGCACACATATATACAGACACACATACATAGACACATATACACACACACACAAATGTATGTACATCAGAATGTATGTTTGCTTGTCCTAAGATGGGAATATGGAGAATTGTGGGTACAGGTGCTCTGATTGGTCCTCAAAGAAGACAGGTGTCACACTAGCATTAATGATTAGCTTGACAGAATTTAGAATCGATAGGGAGATGAGCCAATAGGTATGCCTGGGGGGACTATCTTGATCCTGTAAATAGCATCATTCTTGTGCTCTTTCATATATATTCAAAGAAAAAATATATATATATATATATATATATATATATATATATATCCACATATATACAGTCTGTGAATATTAACTATTTGTAACATAATTTTTACTGCCTATATTGTAGATGGTGTTCTAGAAGATAATAACTTGCCAAGTTCACAAATCAAGGAAGAAGTAGCGCTAGGATTTGGGTAATGCTGTCTGGGATAATTAAGGAAGAAGAGGAAGTCAAACGAGGACTAATGGAGCAGAAAAATGTGGAGTGCCTTGGAGCCCTGAACACCGTCTTGACTATTAATAACCTCTGCAGAGCACAGGGTATTTGATACACGCCAGGCACGGTACCAACAGCTTCAGTGCACAGGATCATTGAGCTTTGTAGCTTTGCTGTGTGGGAATTTTCTTGCCATTATTTTATGGATGAACAAGTGGGGATTTTGAGTGGTTAAATAACCTGCCTAAGGTCATCGGATTGCTAAGCAGTAAACAAGAATGTTCAATCCAGTTAACTGGCAGGGTATGTTCTTGGCCAGGCAAAGACCACAGCTGTCTTTGAGAGGTTTTATTGACACATGGCTATGCCCATTCATTTATGCTTTGCCCCTTGGTGTGTTAACATCCAAAGGCATAGCTGAATGCCTGTGATAAACAGACCAAAAATACTCTGTGTGTGTGTGTGTTTCACATGTGTGTGGTATATGCACATTTGTGTGTGGCATGTGTACATACTTGTGTGTGGGTATACACCAGAGGAAGACATCTGGTATTCTTCTCTACCACTTTCTGCCTTATTCTCTTGAGACAGTATCTCTTGTTGATCTTTAAGCTAGTCTGGAATTTAGGCAAGCCTTAGCACTCTTCCCATCTCTGTCCCTTGATGCACTGGGGTTATAGGTGGGTGTACAGCCATGCCTGGTTTTTAGTGTGGTGCTGGGATCTGAACTCAGTCCTCATGCTTGCCCTATATATGTTCTTACCCACTGGGTCTTCTCTCTAGCTCCCTGGTTTTTATATAAGTGCTGTGGGATCCGAACCCAGGTCCTCATGTATGCAAGCTCTTTACTGACTGAGCCAACTCCACACTGCACCTCCACCATGCCCTAAGTGAGTTTTCAACACATGCATATGCCCATTCCTTTATGTTTTGTCGATGGTCATTTGAGCCCTACAAGAACAGAGCTGAGAAGCTATGACAGGGAAATATTATTTAAAATATGTATTATCTTTAAGAAAAAACACATCAACTCCTTCTTCTGACCCTTATTACCCACTGGCCTAATTCCAAAATGTGACAGAAGTACTGAATGGGAGAGCCAGAAGACAAACAAGGTGCCATCAGATGGTAACTAGTCTACGATAGAATGCTAGTATCGAAGCATTAAGATTCTAGATTTGTACATGCTACCCTGTCTGTATGGGTGGAGATAGCTTGACTTTGCGTGCATGTCCTGTAGGTTGTCAGTGGGTATCTAATATGTTGAGCTGCTGGTAAAACCTTTTAGAGGTCGCACCTCTTGGGAGGTAGTCAGGTCACGGAACCACTGCCTTTGAAAAGGATCAAGGTAATTTCAAGGGTCTCTCAGTTATAGTGGGCAGTTATAGACACAGAAAGCCTGGCTCCTGAGTCTTTCCAGCCATCTGCCCTTCTGTTTGGCCATGTCATCTCTGATTCATGGGTTCCCTCCACTGTGGTGTTGCTCCCTCTACCTCTCAGAGAGGTCAACCAGAAGGCTAGAATCAATCTTGGACTTTCAGCCTAAAACTGTAAGCTAGAGAACTCCTTTTTCTTTAAAAAGTACCAAGCTTTGAGTGTTTGTTATAGCAACAGAAGATGGGGTAAGACATGGTCAGCTTCCCAAGATGGTTGGAGGTACTGGCTGGGGACTAAGGAAGCCTGAGACTTAACATGAACCCTCAGAAGGTGGAGGAATGACCAGGAAGGTGTTAGCCGACAGGTACTGAGGGAGATTATGAGAGTGAAGTAGAGTTAGAATGAGTCTTGTAGAGAAGGGGAGAAGAAGATTAGTGATTTGATAACAGAAGCAGTGTAACTGTGCTCTTTTAGCACCAGGATGTGTAACTATGTAAGACTAAGCCATCTGGGGTGGGGTGAGTCACAGGGAAGATAAATATTCTGCAGGCTCTCTGTGGTCTAGTCTATTATCTTCCCTTCTGTACTGTACTGCTGCTTCTTGGTTAGGCCTGCTGGCCCTAGCCTTAGGGCTCTCTACCACCAGACTCTTACCTGTGTAGTCAATAACGAAGCCAGCATTGCTCACAGATGCGTCACTGCGGAAGGCGAGGAAGAGGCTGTTGCTGCTGCTTTCAATGCGGCTGGGGAGCTGTGAGCCATAGAAGCTTCCTATGAGAGGGCTGAGAGAGTCCCGTCCATCGTAGATGTGAAGAAAATCATAACCAGGCTCCAAGTTAAATCTGGAGAACAAAAATAGCCCATCCCCACCCCCCCACTGAGGTCAAACAAGGGCTTTGGTTGAGGCCTCCCAGAAAGCAAGCCCATCATCCCATGGTACCTTGTCCCCAAAGACTGAAGAGGATGAGGCTCCAGTGTCATCCCAGTCGAGAGAGATGATACAAAATGTGGCTTGGGGACACAGGTGTAAGATTCTAGTCACTGAGTTTTCTCAATTCTGTAGCCAAAGGCCTCAGGTTTTGCTCGTGCAGGAAGAACAGTAAGTTGCCAAGTCCAGGTACTAAGGGACAAAGCTGGCAGGTGTGAGTCCAGGGCTCTTGCCTGACTTCACTGTCATACTAGTTTGTACTGACTTTTCTAAGAGCACAGAACTGCCCAGGGAGCCAACGCCAGTAGGAAGGGACCTGCCACCATGAAAAATCCTAGTTTTTCTCCCTCTATCCCATGCTAGCCACGGCACTCTTCAGCATCTGCCACCACCTGGGTCCTAGCATCACTTTCAGATGTCTCTCCCTGAGCTACCTGACCCTAGTGTGGGATGAAAAGCCATCCTAACTGAGAACAGGAGCTCATGGATATAATTTATCGCTGTAGGGCAGCTAGCAGGGGGTATCTAAGCTTTTGATACTGTGACAAGATGCCACCTGCAAATATGTCAGGCCACAGTTACAGCTATTGTGGGACACACGAGGCCCATAGGATGCAGGATGGACACACCAGCCTAGAGAGAACGTAATGGAAAGTGACAGGAAGAAGTGGATTCTCAGCAGCCCTCATGCTGTGTGTGTGTGTGTGTATGTGTGTGTGTATTTGCTGGCTCACCCCTTTTGGAACTCTTCGTGGTGTATCTGATAACTCTTAATGTTGGCCTGCTCTCTGATGCATGCTTCTGCTCTTAAGCATGTGTCCAATAAAGGCAATTTTTACTAAATCAAGTGTGAAGAGATGAAAAGAACTGACAAGTAAATGTGCTTTCAGAGAACAGATTTCTGATGCAAAGGCACTCGTGTCCTGGGATGGGCAGGGACGCCGAGATGGACCATTCATTCAGTTGGACTGAGAATGAAGTGGCCCTTCTACCCTTTAGTCAAGACATGTGACGTAGAGAAGGGCCACAACCTGGGTAGGTGGCAAAGAGGGTAATGTGAGTAGGGAAACAGAGTGGGTATCTAGGAAGCAGATGTGTGTCCTCTATACGGAGTCTTTCCACACTGGTGTTGAGTGCAGGGTTGTCTCCTTTTTCTGAGTGACATGGTCTCCTTAGTCTGGAAACAATCTGTTCTTTCAAAAGTCCTCAGAGAAAGGTTCTGGCTGAGTCTGTCTTGGCCACAAATTATGGAATGGTCTCCTCTCCCTCTCTCCCTCCCTCTCTCCCTCCCTCCCTCCCTCCCTCCCTCTCTCCCTCCCTCTCTCCCTCCCTCCCCCCTCTCTTTCTCTTTCTCTCTAACTTTTGAGACAGTTTCACATTGTTGCCTAGGATGGCCTTGAACTCAGGAACTCACTACTATCCTGTTTGAGTGCTGGACATGCAGGCATGAGCCACCATACCCTCCCTGGTGGAACCAGCATTTTTCCTGCCTGTTCCTCCCCCTGTCTTCTTCATGTCATTGGTTTTTTATCTGAACCCTCTCAAGATGCCCAGCACCATGCCAAGGACAGGAACACGCCAGACACATGCCTTGCCTTCCTGAAACAGCTGGTGCTGGAAGTGGTGGACGCTCTGCTAACGTAATAGACACTACCAACGTAGATTGTCATTAGCAGTTTGAGGTCACTGAGAAGCTGACTTTCAAAGTGGGGCTGCATCCCTACCCCCACATTTCAGATCCAAGCAGGTGTGACTCAAAGTGTCCTTTAAGCCTCTCCTGGAATGAGTGTGCTTCCCCTAACTCTGTGACTGGGAGGGCAAAACAGGGAAGATCTTCGGGTAAAACTTCTGTGTCCTAGCTGTTCTCACAGTGGAATGTTCAGCAGAAGTTGCTGCTGTTTATCCAGTTATATAAGAGTGCCTGCATTGGGAAAGAAGTCAGACATCTATCCATGCCAAGTTCAGCCATGGGATGCTCCCCCATTGAGCAGAGCTCGCTTGGTACCTCCAGTTGTCTCAACTTGCACAGTTGGTTTCTGTATGATGCTGTGGATGTCTGATTGGATGATGTTCTCTCTATCTGTTGCTATTTCTTCTTTCACTTGAATATCTCACCAGAAGGGACACTCTGTCCTTCCTGGGACAGACTCTATTTGGAACTCAAGCTGGCTACCTTAAATGGGCTTCCCACTTGACATCTGCCGGGCACTTTGAGCACCTGACTTGATCAGTTTGCTCTCTCACTTCTTATTTATTCTTTTACTTTGGTTTGCTGCACACTTAATAAAGTCACTCTCTCAGAACAAACAACATGGCTACCATAGGTCACACTCCTGACTGTACAGAATGGTCAATAGTGTATAACATAGGGTCTATAAAATGTTCAGTCTCCAGCAAGGGACACATTCAAGCTTCCATTGTAGTCCAGCCTGAGCTTATCCCAGGGAATGAGATGACCCTCAGCAGTGGGACAAGGAGGGGACACAGGAAAGTCACCGGGAAGTAGAAGCAGAAGTGAGGTAGGCATGAGAGAGGGAGTCAGGAATCCACCCAGCACTCAGTCCGACTGGAGCTCTGGGCACAGAGTGGCTGGTGGCCAGCTTGGAGAGGTGGATGTTTGCTGTAGAGGCAGACCTCAGAAATTCAAACTCACTTACAAGGAGGATAGATTCATTAAGGGATTAAAAAAAAATAAAGGGCCTGTTTGCTTCTTTGTTTTGCCCATAAGAGAGAGTACCCTGGAAGGCTACACGGGACAGAGTGGCCAGTGTGAAGACTAAGACACTGTTGCAATGGAAGATGATCAAGGCAGGAGCAAGTAGGATGAAGATGGAGACGTGAGAATTTACTGGCACATGTATATACGTACCATACAGTGGTCACCTATACCACACCCCATACAGTGGTCACCTATACCACACCCCATTCAGTGGTCACCTATACCATACCCCATACAGTGGTCACCTATACCATACCCCATACAGTGGTCACCTATACCATACCCCATACAGTGGTCACCTATACCATACACTATACAGTGGTCACCTATATCATATACCATACAGTGGTCACCTATACCATATACTATACAGTGATCACCTATACCATATACTATACAGTGGTCACCTAT